TAAAAGTTCGCGAGAAACACGATGGTGCCACTGGTTTTCTCGGAAATCATCTCCCAAGCTCAAAAAAAGCTCTCAAAGTGAGGCCAAAATGGAGGGGATATCCCACCCTACCCTGAGAGTCCACCTCTAGATCAAAGCAAACTCTCCATGCAAAGATAGGGAGTAAATAAATTGGCAGGGTGGCCACTTTATTTGCGGACTCCAAAACTGAAAACACGGCAACCCAGCTAATGTATGTGCTCCCTATCCTTGCATGGAGAGTTTGTTTTGTTGTAGAGGTAGACTCTCAGGGTAGGGTGGGATATCCCCTCCATTTTGGCCTCACTTTGAGAGCTTTTTTTGAGCTTGGGAGATGATTTCCGAGAAAACCAGTGGCACCATCGTGTTTCTCGCAAACTTTTACATAAGAATCAATCGTCAAATCGCAAATTCCTCACACATGCAACATCTCCATTTCCGTTGAGTAATTTTCCGTTTAAAAAATAAAGTATATGACAGCGAAGTCTGCGTGCGCGATGTCGCAAACCGAGATACGTGGTTGCGGACTCACACCGTCGATATTCATAATTTTCCTCACATCGAGGGAAATTTGGCAACTTCTGAAAGCTCATACGGCGTTTTTCCTTGGCGAGGCAGTATAAAAGTGTGTCACCCATAATTAAATCAGGATTCTCCACTCTCCGTGGAATCACATAACTCCGTCCGATTTAATTCAAATTATTGTCGAAATTAACACTTTTGACGGTGCAGGATTCCGCACAGTCGCCTCCAATTTTTATAGGGATCTGTATTGCTTGGATCGTGTAACGGGCTTGGCGACGAAGCGCTCATCAATAGCGCTCCAACTGCCGTGCTAAGGAAGAAGGCCGTATGAACATTCGAGAGTTTCCAAATTAGCCAAAATGAGACGTGTATTTTTGAGGAAAGTTATGCTTATTTTTCCTTGAAATTTTCAGATATTTTAGATTGAATTGCGTACAAAATTGTTCGAAAATTTTGGAGAGAAATATTTACAAATTTCCCATTAAATTCGGTTTTCATCAAAGGAGAATTGGCAACGTCCAAAGGCTCATACGGCGTTCTTCCTTATCACGGCAGCGCTGATGCAACGGTACCAATTACTCTGGTCGGTCTCGATGAGAAGGGGAGCGGCGATTTTCAGTGCTTGTTTTTGCTTGCTCAGCAATCACCAGTGGTTCCGTTTACGAGCTCGAAACGTTTTACAATCGCCATGACCAGCGAGCCCATTTCCAGCACGTTCCCGAATAATTCATTTGAGAAATAATTGTTTCCCTATTGACTCTGGGTAAACCCTAACGGGGTGGATTTCAGTTGCTGTCCAACAATAACAAAATTAAATTGGAGAACATGATGCGAAAGCTGGCGACGGAAATGCTCATCAAACTATGTAAACAAGCTCTCTAAGACGAAAAAAAAGTTCTAGAGACCCCGCGCTAGTTATGCATTTAACCGGTTGCAGCTGAGAAGAAGCAGAGGGAAGGGTAGAGTTTGAAAATTTTCTACTCGAAGCAATAAAAACTAACCCAGCACGGGAAAAAAAATACATTCGATCTAGAGTCTAGACTCTTAAAAACGATAAGAGAAAGTACTCTCGATTCAACCAGAATCTAGCTTAAATCAAGAACCAAGCCTCTTAATTTAAGCGGATTTAGTTTTGATTCAAGCAAAAATCCGCTTGAATCAAGAGTATTTTTTCTTCTCAATGTTTTCAAGAGTCTGGACTCTATATCTGTGTTTTTTTTCCAGTGTGGGAATACGAAACTTTAAACTAAAAATCGCCCAGCTGTTAACTTAATTGCAACAGTAGTGTACGTATTTATAATTTAACGAGCTTACTCACTTAATTCTAACAATGGGGTGTACGCATTTCATTTTTCCAAGGTTTCATAAATGTGGACTCTTCTCGTGCTATGCGTGCGGAGAGATATTTTTCACGAGTTAAACACCACTTTAAATAATGAATTATACAAAATATTACGGTAAATCTACTAAAATATTTAAACCACCCCACATGCCATTACATGTATTAGCAGCACTGAATCAAATTTTGTCGTCGTTTTTATAATATACCTCTAATCATAGACGAAAAATGCGGATCCCCTAATATGCGTTATTCCATCGTAACATCAAAAAATCTACCATCATATTTCATTCTCCTTAAATAAAAACTATAATCAAAATGCATCGTAGCAATTTTGGGTAATTTTTTGGGGATGAAAAAAAAATTAATAAAAAAATTCAATAGAGACTGTTGGTCAGATTTTTTGAGGAAAAATTAAACATGAGCGAGAACTTACAACAATGCATTTTGAGATCCATATTTTCCATCTTTAGCTATCGTCATCCGTTTCCTAACCAAAACGGACTCAAAGCTTCACCATTGGAGAATTTGCACACAAAAATTTTATTGCTTCACCTGAGAGTGCCTAATGAGCTGAGTTCGCAGTATTTTTCATAATTTTTCTCTGACATGGGAAATTGGAAAAATATAGATTTAAAAGTGAGAAAATATGCTGCCTTGTGACGTCATCTGGCGGCATTTTCCATTTAAACACATGTATGGGAGCAGACTAGGTTATTTTGTCATATTTTCTCCAGTATTTGTCCAATTTAGAAACCAAGGACATCCTCTTACTCAGTTTTCCTAGTGGTACCATTTTAAGGATGAAATTTTCATAATTTAAGACACCTGCAAATTCTCCATTAAGCGTTGGAAGCGTGAACATACCAGACAACAACCAAATTACAATATAACTTTTATTTTCAGTGTGATGGTCATTTCGTCACCTTCCGGTCAAAGTATCACAAGCGCCATGCGACGTCTTAAAATTTCCACCGTCATTTTATTTTTTTACAGAGAAATCGTTCAACGAAGCTGTCCGAAAATTTCACTGAATTTTCTTTGCACTGCCGATAAAATTCAGTGAAATTTTCAAAAAGATTCAACCAACAATTTCTCTGTAAAAAAATGAAATCGCGGCGGAAATTTTGAAACGTCGCATGGCGCTTGTGATACTTTGACTGGAAGGTGACGATTTGTTGGAAAACTGCTACGGCTGAAGAAACTATGAATAGGGCGCGATGAGCTCGGGGAAAAAAAATATCCGTTTATTGAATTTATCCATCGATTGGCAAAGAGATAGGATTTGTATCCCATCATTAGATGTGGCGAATCACGCACATTTCTAGGTATATAGCTTAAATTTTCTCTGATTAAGGAGCGAGAAGAGGTAAGAGGTAAAGACGAACGAAACACTGCAAATGTTACCATTAACGTGTAACGTGGAGCTCGAATGCTTTACTCTAAGCCGGGTGTGGTGTAACTTTGCAAACAAATAGGAGTTTCGTACTAAGTACATCAATTAAAAAGTTTCATGTTAGTTTCGGGCGAGTTGACAACATTAATAATGCGAAAGTTTCCTTTCGCCACTTGAAAACCAGGCTGTCGTTGAAGCTATTTCCCCGATTACTCCCGTTAGAGAGTACTTAAATTCCCAAATTTTCGAGTCAGCTCCCACTTTTGGACCAAGAAAGAAGGAGAAAGAGGGTTTGTGAGGTACTATTTAACTTTTAAAATAATCATAGCAATTTCTTTCTCATGAATTTGTAAAATCATCGTATATGTTTGAATATTCTTGAAAGGAAGATCAAGAAAATATATTATCTTGATGAGCTTCATCTTATACCTCCTTACAGTTGAAATTTGCGATATCTCACTCAATTTGGTTTTGAGAGGAGTGAAGGACCAAGACGGAGGTTGAACAGTGAACACAGCCTTTCATGTTTTCGTGTCCTCGTTGAATCGCGGAGCCCCTTCAAAAAGCTGTGATACCGCATGTTGACACTAGAGTTCGAATAGTTATCGACCCGCGCCGTGTCGTAGGCAGGTAGAGAATATCTTTTTATTAAAATGTCTGCTGCTCATTCGCTGGTTTTCAGAAAATGCAGTTTCAGGGAAAAATAATCTAAAATTGTAACGAATGTCCGCTCAACGTTTTCCGTAACTCTTAAGATATACCCGGGGAGACTCAACAATAAATAATGAAATATCGCTCGTCTTTTATTTTCATCATATCAAAAAAGTGGCCTTACTCAGTGGAATCTGAAGTTCATTACTACCCACAAATCGGATGAGAGGGACAAAAATAGAGGGGGCAACGATCCAGCTTTGACAAAGAAACACGAATCTCGCCTTTTAGCTTCACTGCATGTCATTTGAAAAATTTCCCATTTACACTAACGATAGCGTCAATCTGACGCAAAAAAACGACCATTTTCCCTTTACCATCATTCTTAGACAACCTTTTCAACAGCAACAAAAATAAATAGATAAAACAATAAAATAAATTATATTCAAACATTAAATGATAATATTGTGTAGTTATGTAGTTGTATTTGCGCCTTTAGCAGAAAAATCACGATATATACGATTTGATGCATCTATGTCAATACTAAACTTATAATTTCAATACTTTTTTTTTACCCAAATTTAGTTATAAAAGCGACCATAAAACTGTCCATCCTTTATTTTTCAAATCAAACGTCCGATGTTTTAATCGACTGGATTAAATCGGGTGAAATAAAAAATCTGCACGAGAAAAATAACACGGGACAAATGGAGAAATCACAGGTTATCGTGCGATAAATATCCTGAAAATGTAGAAAAATGGAAATATCATTGCTCAGCTTCACTGGAAAAAAAAAACACATTTGATCTAGAGTCCAGACTCTTGAAAACATCGACAAGAAAAAATACTCTTGATTCAATCGGATTTTTGCTTAAATCAAAAGGAGATCCGCTCAAATTAAGAGGTTTGGTTCTTGATTAAGCAAAAATCCGATTGAATCAAGAGTATTTTTTCTTGTCGATGTTTTTAAGAGTCTGGACTCTAGATCCATTGTGTGTGTGGTTTTTTTTTTTTTTTTTTTTTTTTTTTTTTTTTTCCAGTAGCTTCTCATACATTTGCGAGGGTACTTACTTGTCACTGGGAGCGTTTCAACTGGTTCCCACTGAGATGCATGAATATTGAATATCAACTCTTGGAATGGCTACACGTTTCACTGGGTGTCTCACGTGACTCGCTGTACGGATCGCGTGTTTTTTCGGCGAGTCGGACGCACGAACGCAACTCGTGGCACCGCCGTTTCAAACGCGTTCAACGATACTGACTCGAGTCCCCGCGGCCGCTCTCTATCGTGACGGAACGGGACGCGGACGTTTGCGCAGAAAGGGGCTCAAACTCAACGGCCACGCGAGCTCTGCCGCACTAAGGAAAAACGCCGTATGAACCTTCAGGCGTTGCCAAATTTCCTTTGATAAAACACGAATTTCCTGCTACGTTTATGAATATTTTCCTTTCGATTTTTCAGATCATTTTGTACGCATTTTCACCTAAAGTTCCTGAAAATTTCAAGAGAAAATATTCATTTCTTTCCTCAAAAATGAAGATTTTATCGAAGGAAATTCGGCAACTCTCGAATGTTCATACGGCGTTCTTCCTTAGCACAGCAGAGCTGCCTTTCTCGCGCCACGCTACATCCTTTGCTCCAAATTGCAAAATTAGTCGTCCCGACGCAACAGGTGAACGAGAATTTAAAATAGGGGACATTTGAGGGTGAAAAACGTCGAAAAATCAAGTTCATCGTTTCCTCTTTAAGTTGTGTTTTCTCCATTCTAGACGGTTTCTGGGATCTGAAAACATACGTGGTCCCAATTTGTTCAGCATTTTTTTACACAGTGTCCCCTATTCAAATTTTAGCGGGTCAGATTCATGTTCACTTTATTTGCTGACCGTAAATCAACCGAACGCAAGCTGTGATGACAGAAGTTGCTTCGAACTACGAAAAATATCGATACATTTGAATGGATTTTTTTAATTTTTATTTGTCTGTATCTTGCGTTATTCCGATAGTAATGTTGAAGACAGGAGAAACTTTAAATTAATGTCAATAAAGAGCCTCCCAAAATAAGGGCTTATTTTCGCCCCTTTTTCGGTATTCGATTCGACCATCGAACCAAGGTTTAAGTGGAAGCTTATAATAACAGATAACTCAGGAAAAAATTTCAAGATGAGTAAAGGAACCGTTCCCGAGTTACGGGTGGGCAAAGGGGTCAAACTCCGGCCTTATTCTTCGCTATTTTCTTGTTGAATTAATGTGTCTACGGGGTTGTTATCGTTGTTTACACATGTTATACACACCGGTTCCTACGTATTTTTACACGCAAAATCGAGTTATAATGTTGACGAGTCGATATATCGATCGGTTATATCGATGCTTTAAGATTCTTTACGGAAAATTGACGATTTTTTGAGATTGAAATTGTTCATTTTTGATTCATGGAGTTTCCTGTTATTATAAGCTTCCATTTAAACCTTGGTTCGATGGTCGAATCGAATACCGAAAAAGGGGCGAAAATCAGCCCTTATTTTGGGAGGCTCTTTTAGCGGGTCAGAATAATGTTCACTTCATTTGCTGACCGCAAATCAACCAAACGCAAGCTTTGATGACAGATGTTGCTTTGAACTAAATATCAATACATTTTAATGGATTTTTTTAATTTTTTTTTTGTCTGTATCATGCCGTAGATCCCCAATCATTTGATCGCATGTAGCTCCAAGTTACTCGATAAACTGCTCAGGGTCCAAATGCATTGATCGCTGCTGTCAATAACGCAAGTCAATGCCTTAAAATGGCATTTTGATGTGAGAACGTGCAAGACATAAGCCGCCGGTTTATCGATGGTCAAATTGGAAGTTGTGTTTCCCTGAAAATCTGTGTCAGAAATCAATGCGTCGCCGAATCCTTTCTTCAGAATGTTAAGCTGATCTTCTGAATTCGCAAGGATGGTGCATTTGGATGACTTTATGTTGCCCTTCACTAGCAATGCCATACTTTCAATTCTTTAAAGGCAAAAATTTTCCGAGGAGAACCTATTGAAAAAAAGAAGAAAAAACAGCCAGTTTAAGAACCCGCTTTGGCTTCACTTTATGTAGATATATTTATCGGAGCTATCGAGAAAATGAGAGAGAGAGAACAGCCGATTTTGAAAAACCTGTGGCGCCAATGCCTCAAAAGGTATTTTAAAGCACATTCGGTCCCTGATTTTGAACACTTTTAAAATTATTATTAATCATGACTCGAATATTCGTCGGATCTCGCTTCGCAACCACCCTTGATACCTTTTGATTTTTTCTTTTCATTCAAATATTTCTTTCATGAATGTATATGACTTTAACATGCGATGAACCCAATATATCACTACCAAAATTCTGAAACTTTTCACCTCTATTAATTTAAAAATCTAAATTTTCGTATATACTCCCATTTTCAAAATTCTCTGTAAAGACTTCAATAGCCTGTGATGCTGAATGTCTTAAAATATACTAACATACCAACTAACTAACTAACTCGCCCTCGAGAAAATACTTAACGTTTGCGTTTAATGAGATTTGACTATGATTAAAATGAAATTGGACTCACAATTTTTTTCATTCAGTCAATAGATTCACAGGGGATTCGCAAAAAAATATTCACATCTAATTATAGCGAAAAACATTTTTTTCACACAGGAGATGAGCGTAAAATTTGACGTCATTTAGTATGTTACTAGATGTGTTACGGGGCGAAAGGTGGAAAATGACTGGTCTTGGTCTCTCCTTATTTTTTATTTCGGCATCGCAATGCGTCGCCACACGGTGGATCGAAACCTGCAAAAAGTCGGACATGGNTGTGCCAAAATACATATCTAAACCCAATAATCAGGAAAATAGTCATCAAAAATGAAATCTGCGACGAAAAATACATAAGAAACATATATCCTGATTTGTTTTATGAGCGCAAACACTACGTAAATGAGCAAACCAAGTCGCGTGATGTGCCATGTCCGGCCTGCCCTATGACTCGATCCACCGTGCGCCAGTAAGAATCGGTTGATGATGGCAATCGGATGAATCGGTAGTGGCATTGATGTGACGCTATGACGAACGAAGGAGAACCGAATTGTAATTTGCCCGTATGAGTCTGATTTAGAGAAGAGATTAGAGTAATGGATTCCAATTAATTAGCTATGATCAATAAACAGATCAAGTCGGTGAAGACGAGATATAACGGCGTGCATTTATAGGACTTCATGATGAAAAAATATTAGGAGCAGGGACTCTATACCATAGTTGTGATGAAAACTAATTTGTATCCGGATGTTTTATTTTATTTTCGTCAAAAAAAGGAAAAAAATAATCATACCAATCTTCGAAGTGTATGCTTTTTAACATATTTCCAATTACAATTACTACCAATTAAGAAATAATTTGAAAGAAAAATCATTTTCACGGGTGTGTCATCCTGCCTGATAAGTGATTTTTATATCAGCTGTCCACACGCACATGTAATTTTATTTGTTCAGAGGGATGCGTTTTCGTCGAAAGAGACACCTAATACCCGCGCCCGCATATTCAAACTTGATTCACTAATGTCTTTTAAGATGAAATTTTCTTTGTTTCTTTCCTGCGCATCAAAGTTTGTGAGGGTGAGAAACTTTCCCCTTAGGATCATGAAAATACTTGAGAGGACACAAGAAAAGAGGGAGGAAGGAGGGGGAGAGAGAAATCTTATTGAATGGATACATGGTGAGGTAGCGTGGTTATTAACGCCTTAAGTGATACGACTATTCCTGCTCATCTGCTTGCTAAGTTGCATGTAGAAATAAATGAAGGCGCTCTAGCTTTTCCGGTGCGCGGACGAGTGCCGAGCCATGCGTCACGTAACTGATAATATTCATTTATCGGCCAGTGATTTGCCTGCGTCTCGCCCAACCAGGAAATGCTTATCAATTACTCGACAGTACAACTTGATCACTCGTACAATTTTTGTGATTTAAATCATTCCTTATACATTTGCAAACTCAGTGATAGCAAATGATTTACTCTCAAACTCGGCAAAAGCCTCAAAAGTCGGAGCTATATATAATGGGAGCCTGATCAATCCCCTTGCCCAAGCGTTGATCCAAACACTTGTCAAAATGTATAGGGATCGACTCCTCTTCGTTGAAATAAAATCTTCACCTCCTTATCATCAACGAATCAACATTTAACCCATCATAAAATCAAACTTTCACACCTTCCTGTCAATGTTGAATGTGAGCCAAGAACTTGACCTGTGGGCATCTTGTTTCTTGGCCAAGAGTTATCACAAAATTAGAAGCTAATCTCATTTTTGTACTTGCACTTGTAATTTGTGTATAAACTGAAAAAAGACTTAAACTGGCTAGACTTTAAAGACTGTCTCGGTTCAAGTAAAACTCAACGAGTGGACGGATTTACGGTTTGGACTGTCACTATCTTAGAAAAAACACCTGACTGAAGGAGTTTATGCTTGCTTTTTCACTATTATATGTATAATACTACTGAAGGTTTATAGATTAAATAATTATATACATTGAGTTACCTTACAAAAAATTGAAGAGGGATGTTTCTGTCAGGTTGAATAATTTAAGGTCCAGATGAGTGACCGATTGGATGCTTCGCCACTGGAGGTAGTGCAAGCGGAGGATTTGTAACCAAAAGTGGCCAATCTGTTGATAACATGTGGTGCTGGTAGACCCACAGCCAAATGAGAAGTACTTCCCAAGAGGTTTGTTCGCTTCTTCTCTGTACCAGGAAAGGCGGTTGACAGCATCATCCTTTGCTGCTCATTCGCTCCGAACACTTTACATTCGTTCCCATCCAGTTTACCTTTCACTATCAACGTCATGATAACTGTCCTACTTAGAGTTCCCTTCAAAAAGTATATGTATACTGCCTGGAAGGAAAGAGAAAAAACGAAAATTATTTGACAATTCGATTAGATCCATTTATACAGAAAATGAGGCCGTAAGCGGAGCTAGGAACTTTCAATTCAAGGGAATTTAAGAAAATTCAAGTTTCCAGTGGAAAAATCCCTCCTTCTATCAAGTTTGACAAAAATCAATAGAGCGGGAGGCGCACGTCGCATGATGAGTAAGGATCTACACAGTGAGAAACGATAGCAGTCAATTTACAAACGTTGGTGCGCCTTCATTTTCGTGTGACACTATACAATACCTCTGTAGTGGAATGCTTGCTCAGAGCGCCCTCTACAGTATGAAATCAACTTGATGGATGGGCTGACAATAAGAGGATCGCGATTGCCGCTGATATTCTGCCGTGCTAAGGAAGAACGCCGTATGAACATTCGAGAGTTGTCAAATTTCCCCGGATAAAACATCTATTCTTGAGAAAAGTTATGCATATTTTTCAGTGAAATTTTCAGACACTTTAGATTAGATTGCGAATTAAATTATCTCCAAATTTTGAAGGAAAATACTCAGGATTATGCCAGTAAATTGGTATTTTGTTGATGGAAACATGGCAACGCCTGATGGTTCATACGGCGTTTTCCCTCACCGCGCGGCAGTATTGCACTCTGGCGCATGTGCACTGTGCAGTTACACATTGACTCATCACTGGTGGTAAAGTAAAAAACATCTATACCTCAATTTTCAACGTTGCAACTTTCCCACTGCCTATTTTTGTACGGGTAAACGAATGTGAGCACTTTCTGCCTTGATTTATCCCAAGTATATGACGAAAAATATCGTTTTAACGTTGCATTCAAGTCTATACGATTGCTTTCCTTAAGAAGGGAAAAATGAGCATGAGTAGGGTCCTTCGAACGAACGAAAAAGGGATCCAAAATAGTAGAGCTCGAAGAGTTGATAAAGTGCCGAAATATATTGAGCGACGATCAATGTTATTATCAGCTCGTTTTTGCGTTTTTGCATGCGTCTATGATGCAAAGTTGGATGCGAAGTTCCCTGAAATTTGTATGAATAATAGCAGTTCCATGACTGCAAAAACGAGTGACCAATCCCCCTTCTAACTTAAGGTGAAGGGGATGTTGTCCACGAAAATTCGGTTGCTTATATTTTACTCTGAGAATTGAAGCTCAAATCAACAGGTATAGCATGCAGTTGAAGATTTTGTTAATTTCTAATGACAATTTTACAATCTCAGGTCTTAATACATTATTATCACATAAATTAGGTAAAACGACAAAGTAAAACAAGCAAAAAATCTATCAAAAACTTAAAAAGAAACTACAATAATTGTGACATTTTTAAACGGCCTGTTACCTTATTAATCACACTAGATCGGAAAAAGTTGTCGATTACGTTCGATTCAAATTTCTCTACTTCACAAACTAGCTTCACAAAATCAAACTAAGTAATATTGATTGCGCCACTTTCCACTCACTCAAACCGATGTGCAAAAAAATAAAAATCGAAGAGAGATTGCAAACAAGTGTTTGATACCAACTCCTAAGACCACTGAATGAGGAACATGCGAGTCTTCAACAGTGGAGAGGCGTGAATGATCTATTATCGATATTTCTCCATTTGAAGCTATGGTGAAGAATCGATTATTAAGGTGTTGGTTGCGAGCACCCTGTTTTTTCGATCCTTTTCCGTAGGTTTAAATGACAGACGAATCGACGTATCGGAAAGTCCGCCAAGCCACTGGTTTTTAAGTTTCCTCGGGTAACCCCGTTGCCGGTGTCGAGGAACTGGGTAAAACCAGCGAGGCATCGGAAACTTTGAAATGATGCCTGCTTGGAGGATGGGCTTCGCCAAGTGGATGGCCTTGTGAACTTCATCACGAATGTCCACACCGCTAACAATAAGACGCATGGGACACTTTGCTTGTCATTTGATAGAAGTAAAAATGCCGAGTTGTTCCTAGGAGCGTGGTTGGGAAGGGGTCTTACGGGGCTGCCCCCCCCCCCACAAGTTGTGATCGGCTTAAGTCGCTCGAAAATACTGCCGTGCAACGCAAAAACGCCGTAAACGCCGCATTTTAATTTTTTTTGGAAACAATGTATCACAGCAGGAAAACGTGTTTAACTTGGGACAATGTTTTTACAGAATTCTTTCGCAAATTTTAACCTAAAAATTTGAGGTGCATGGGTGAAACAGTTTTTATTTTATGAAGTGTTAAGTTCCAAAAAACGCGGGAAAACCTTGATTGATTTACGGCGTTCTTGCTTGGCACGGCAGAACATTCCAGTGAGGGATCAACAGGCCCGTGCCCACTACAAAAAATAAGATCCGCCAGCCAGCGTTTATGCTTCTCACCCACTAGACAACGGTTTGACGGTCGATATTCTTTCGCTAATGATTGAAGGCGCAGAGCATTGGCGCGGGTGATTAACCGTCTTAATTCTAAGGAGATGGAATTGCATACCTATGACGAAATGAAGGCACTTGGAGGAGAATTAGCTGACTAATGACACAACAGCGTAAGTCGCAGCGCATTGACCCAGGGGCGGGGAGTTGGTCTCGAGCCCGCTGCCTGCGCAACTATTTTCACTCCACCGAGATGGAATTGCATACCCAGTGAAATGAAGGAATTTTGAGTTGCTCCGTTGAGCCTGAATCAGACAGTTGAGTCCGACGCAGTGTTCGAAACTCACTTTTGAGTTTTAGGAGCCAAAAGACGCATCAAGCCCGAATTTTAGGCGCCATTGAAGATTTTTTAGGGGCCAAATTGACTTTTTGCCTATCTATTACGGCGCATTTAGTGAAAAGTTAGATGCAAGATGTTTTCGTAACAGAACTAGTAAGTAGCTGTAACTTGGGACACAAACATCACAAAGGATAAAATCGTGAAGAATAGAGGAAGCTTTCACTTATATAGTGCTGAAAATTTCGAATAATCACCTGATATGAAAATTCAGATTTTTAAGGGGCAATTTTTAGGGGCCACTTTGGCGCAGAGCCTTCATTTTTTAGGCGCCATGGCCGATTTTTTGGGCGCATTTGGCGCGTTAGCGCCTGTGAGTTTCGAACACTGGTCCGGCTTCGCAAATGTCGATGCAGTAGTTTGTTTAGAACTTCAACTCGAGCAGTTGTTTCATTCGACTCCTTAGAGATTAAGTTTTAGAGTAACCGCACCGAAATGAAGAAAACATTTCAGTGGATCCCATAATTGACAAGACAAGCGCTAAGTAAGCAAAGAAAAGAGAACTGTTATGGAAATTTCTCATTTTGTCCTTTTCTCACCCACTGGTAATAAAATCTCTTTGTGAGGCTATGAAAACATTTTTCATCGTAGACTCCCCAAAGCCCGGACTCCCAATTCCGAAGACACCCGCAAAGGCACGGTTTCACGATCATAAATGTAAGGAGGAGCGATGAGAATTTCACCTGCTCTCTCATTTCTCTTCGCGTCGCGACGGTCCATCCATTTCTACAGGTGCCCCGACAAAGTACAAAAGTTATCATTGAAAAAAGAACGGTTTCAGGACATCCCGTCAACGATTTTTTGTCCGGGCACCTGTTTAGTCCAGTAATTTACGTCCACGCGTAAAATAAGAAACAGTGACTTGGTCCAAAGATTATGTTTCAGTCCGTATGTAAAATTATATTGACAATATTTTCTAAATGCACACTGGCGCCTACAAACCTAACGGGATACTTCACGCGTTGCGCAATGCGTGAAGTATCCCTGTTAGGTTTGAAGGCGCGTGTCACGCTGGTCGCCTGCCGCGCCGCGGAGTGCTACGGTGTTTCAATCAACTATTTCGCGACATAGGTGTTGCACAGTATCATAGGCGCTCCAACGTATCAAGACAAGAATGACAAGCTTCCTTTAAGGGTACAGAGCTTTCCTTGCAAAATAAATCAAGATACTACGTTACAAAAAGAGAGTGGTAATCTAAAAAACTCACTTAGTCCCAGCATCCGTTTTTAATAACGTTTAGCTAGCTGCTAGCATAATTTTTGAATTTCATCAGAGAACAATGTGACTCGATTTAGGCAGTAACATTATTAAGTATGCCGTCAAGAAGATTTTATTTTGAATCAAGAATAAAATAGCTGAATGAAAGCGGGTTTCTGCTTGATCTAAGTGACTTTGCTTTTTATTAAAGCATCCTTTTTTCTCCAAACAGGCATTATTTTCTTTATTGATTTATAAGGAAATCTTCCCGCCGGAAAATTTGAGCATATTTCTGCTTGAATCAAGTCACTTTTTCCTATAATTAAGTTCAAAAATCATGCTAAACGTTACTGGATCAGATACTTGGACTAAGCAAGTTTTTCGACTACAGCTCTCTTCTTTTCGTCGTCACTCGATTTAATTTGCGAGGGAACTTCGTGCTTTTGAAAGATGCCATCAATCATGATACGTTGGACTGCCTTCAATCCTGTATGATACTGTGCAACACCTTCATGGCGAAATAGTAATTCGAAGCGCCTCGGCACGCCGGCGCCGTCGCGAAGTTACCGTACACAGGAAAAATCTAAGAGCCTTCAGCTGAGGAAAATCAAAAGGTTCCTCCGATTCAGGTATAAGAAGATGGGATTTTCTTGAAAGATAATTAAGTCCTGTTGCACCAAAGAGGTGTAGAGAGTTTTAGTGAATTTCCCCTCATGGAATTGACGGCAAAATTCTCAATTATTTATTTGTTTCCGTTTGGCCAACCAAACAAACAAAAAACGGGCAAACCCTCATTCTTCCAAGACATTCTACATTTCATCCCCTGGTAAAAATTGGCAGTAGAATCTGTGTTCCAAAATACCATAGACCTACAGCCGGCTGTAAGATTTCCAATTGCTCCTACAGCCGGCAACACAATTTCTTATAGCCTTTTATAGCCGATGGCGACTAAGCAACAGCCTGGCGATAAAATGTATGCTAAACGTTACTAATTACGGATGCTAGGACTTAGTGAGTTTTTGAACTACCGCTCTCTTTTTGGGCCGTAGTATCTTGATTTATTTTGCGAGGAAAGCTCCATACTTTTGAAGGATGCCGATGCCTGCCTTTCCTAACATGTTAGAGCGCCTGCAATTTTGTATGATACTATGCAATACCTCTGGTGTGAAATAGTTGCTTCAAGCGCCGTGGTACGCTGCGGCGCGGCGCGGCGGACGGGCAGCCAGCGCGGAACGCGCATTGGCGCCTTCAAACCCAACAGGGATACTTCAAGCATTGCGCAATGCGTGAAGTATCCCTGTTAGGTTTGTAGGCACCAGTGCGCCGCCGCTCCGCTTTGTGTTAGGCTCTAGTATTTAATCTCGTGGAGTCAGCGTTTTTCAACCCATGACTTTGAAATGTTTGTACACTCTGTATGGATTATTCTCATTTTAATTGATGAAAAAAAATATGTAATAAAGGGAAATATAATGTGCGTTTTGTAAATATTAAGGTGATTCCGTACAAACTTAAGGATTAACAAAGCACACGAATTTCTACACAATTTCTTATAGCCTTTTACAGCCGATGGCGAAAAAGCAACATCCAGGCGATAAAGTGTAAAGCCCGACGATAGGAACTATAGCCCGGCTGTATAATTTTTTATCGCTTCGTGTAGCCCGGCCGTATAATTTTTTCCACTTTCTACAGCCAACTTTATGATTTTCTATCGCCTTCTTCAGTCGGCTATAAGAACTCCTATGGTATTTTGATAACGCAGCTCCTATCGCCAATTTTTACCAGGGTCCAAAAACGTCGTGAGCAAATGTTGTTTGTATTTACATGTTGACTAATAAACTTTTCGTCTCAATAATTGGTATAAGTGGACCAAAATTCCCCTACCGAAAAAACGCGTGGACTACTGGAAAAAACAAGAGCTCGGACAACAAATCGTTGACAAAATGTTACATAACCAAAGGAACTCGTCTCGGTTTTTGGCGTGGTCCAACTGCCGTGCGATATATCACAATTATCGGACCGATCATGTCAAAAATCTCATCAGATTTTGAATTTTTAGCCGAAAATTTATCGGACAATCGCCCCTGCTGCGAATGAGCCTAGGCAACCATTCTAAACCAAACCATTTGCAAAATCGGGAGAAATGAAAGGAGAATTCTGTTTAGAAGAATAACCTGGCATTCAACAGAAACCGATGACGGTGTCGATTGCCAGGTTTTTTCGCAATAAAGATAAAATAAAAGCGCAAAAAGAGTCCGCATTGAATGAGGAAAGTGCGTGACTACCAGCTGATCTTCCCACGCTTTTTTTCGCAGCCAATCAGACACCCAATGACCACGTTTGCATTCCTTATGGAAAATATAACATGGTAAATCGAAACCAGACATTTTTTCCGAATTCAGCCGATATTTTCGAGGAAAAAATATCCATGACTATTTTCTTGAGGATTCGGTGTTTCTATTGATGTATAGTATAGGTATTTATACATTCCACCTTCTCCAAAAAATACCATTTATCTTCATTTTTAAAATTTCAATTTTCTTTCACTTGAGTCGATGTTTTTGACTGTCCCGCTGACAAAAATCAAGAGCTTCGAACTTTTTTTGGAAAAAGTGGAATGAATTACCAATATACATTAGTAGAAACGCCGAATCCTCGAAAAGCCAGTCATGGTCATCTTATTCCCGAAAAATTGACTGAATTCAAAATAAATAATGGGAGGCTTGGAGGATAAAACGCACAAGTTACAATTTTTGAAAAGAATTGAGAAATTAATAATTTCAAGTAAAACTAGTCTCAATGTACATACTGTGAAAAATTTGCTCCCTAATTCCTACTTTTAAGCATCAAAAAGTCAGTGTGAACTTTCTTGCCGCCGTAAGAATCCATGTTATATCGACACTTCAAACACGTATTTCTTGCACGCATAACTGAACTTAAAATATGCGCCTTGTTCTCCAAGCTCCTCATATGGCTCCGATTTCCCATGCTATTTTCCAAATGGAAAATGCGACTAGTTTGATCCAGTTTGTTGGATCTACATCCAAAAATGGGGGAAAAAACGGAGGAAAAAAATTCAAGCTTTGATCAAAGAAAGCTTGAAGTGGCAACATTGGGAAACTTAGTGTTTGTTGTTTGTAGAGAACTGACAACGATGGATGATGATTCATTGTTGTGATAACAATTGTTGACATTAATAGGTTAGGTTTACCTCCGTTTACAAGTGGGAGAGAGGGAGAGAGATGTGCTGTTACGGATTAACTAATTTCAATTATGTTAATAATTATTATGAATTGAGTTTATCTTGAAAAATGGCATTCTTAGATGTAAGTAATCGTTTAATAATTTAGCACTAATTTACTCAATTGGATTTCTTAGGGGAACTCACAATCGCCTATTCACCTTCCACCTAGCTTTTTCATTTTCTTGTGTTTCATAATTTGTTTCAGCGTCAAAGCTACTGTTTAGCTCCAAATTAATTATTGTTAAAGCTCCTCTTCTGCCATGGTTTCTACTCTTCGTAACATCAACGTAATTTTTCCCAGTTCCTAATTAGTGCAGAGAACGATCAGTCCCAAATCCAATGAAAAAATTTTTGTAATCCTTGTCAAGAACGAAGCATATACATATCTTGATTGTTTATGAACTAAGTTACAATTTTTTTGATCCAGCCTTTAGTTTGAATCAACATCCTGTCGTACCTCACTAAACTCGATAGTTCTTCGGCAAGAGGGAATAACTTGCGTTTTTCCCTTGACATTCTCATTTCTTTTTAGCAGTCCCAGAACCGGAATGTTCATTGATGATGGGTCATTTTTATTTTGTGTCAATTATTTCAGTAGCCTCTTATCTCATCATCAGTTAGCCTTTTCATTGTTTTTCCTCTTTCCTAAGCCAACTTTGTTTCTTTTACAGTGGAGGAAGTTGAATTTTTTTGATCTACAGAAGAATTTTGACGCCGGGAAAATCGCTGAAACTCTCACTGTAAGTGCAATAGTTGCTTTTTATGTGATTCTTTAGGGAATGAGAATGTATTCTAACTTCATGCAATCCAAAATGTGCATGCTAATCAAATTTTCAATTGTTTCGGTTGGAAATGTTCTATGTTGGTAGTTAAAGGCAGGCAGTGTAATTTTTTAGTTCAATTCATAATTATTTCATTGATTGTAAATAACTCATAATTGGGGAATGCCAAGTAAAAGCCTATGCCTTTTTCAATCTACTTTAAATAACTCATCAAAGTTACCATTGGATTTTTAGGGCACTACTGTCACCGCAACCACCAGCGGCTTCAATTTTTTGATTATTGGGGATGCAGAAGGAAGTATCCACCTTGTGAATCGGATTTTTCAAATCACTACTTTCAGAGCATTCAATCTCCGTGTTGATTTTCTGGAGCAGTCGCAAACGTCATCTCTACTTGCAGCAATTGGGGTATGAAAAGACACGTATTTCTATTTTAGCATCAATGATCTGATCAAATTTATTCCTGACAATATATAGAGGAAGCTTCATTTACACATTCTGCTGATGACTCCCTAAATGCTATATTTAATGGCAGTACTACTGAGTAGATATCACTATTACTCTTGCCTCTTGTCAGTAGGCAGACTTATTTAAGAGGCTGAAAGCTCTACCACCCAACAAAATTAATTGCAAACCTTTTTAGGGACTGTGTGAATACAGAATCACCTTTATTTTGATTTACTTTTGAGTATCACAAACAGGTTACAGTTAGACACTCAAGTGCCCAAGTTTAAGGAGTCGCAGTATTGGTGATTTAGCCAACAAGCATCATGTCACGCCAGTCAAGTATGGCTTGACCTTTCCCCTTAATCGCTTGCAATTTATTTTTGAGTTAATTTTTGTCAACAGGTGATGGTTTTACAAATGTGCTAATGTTGCATAAATATTTGAATTAACTGATGAATGGGCGTTTGAAGCATCTACTTCATTAATAGGCAAGACAAAATGTCAAAGAAATTTATTATTAACAAACAGATAAAAATTCACCTACGTTATTCTCCTCCTCACTATTCTGTCGGGTCGAGTAACTTGGAACAATTTTTAGCAATTTATCATAAATATGGGGAAAGTTTGGATTTGCCAACCATCAAGAATTCTATTTCAATTAAATACCATACAATCTAGCTGCAATTCTGTTCAGGGTAGTATCTTAATTTCTCTAAATGTTTTCTCCTTTACAGTCAGATGAACCAGGAATCAATCCTTTGTTGAAAATATGGAATCTATATAAAACTGATTCCCATGAAAATCCATTATGTGTGCGTATCACAAGGGCAGTTCCAACCAATCGCAATATCAGTAGTGCAGTACCAGCGTCCTGTCTCTGCATTGCAGATACACATAATTTAATAGCTATCGGATTTGCTGATGGATCAATAAATTTGTACAGAGGTATGTCCTTTTTGTTTCAACTTGATCAATTTTTATTGGATCTAGCCTGGACCTTAATCCACTGCTTTTGCTATTCAAAAGATCAGAAAGCAATACATTTAGGTGTTTTAGAAAAATTTGAAAAAAATAAAGTCAACCTATGGTTTATATTTTGTTAATGTATAAATTTTTTTATAAATTTCTCGTGCTTCAATTTGTTGATCATTTTGTCAAATTGACGATTCAACATCTGAATTCAATAAAACGTTAAAATCTTGTAAACTGTACAAAAACGAATGGTTATTGTAATTTTCAATAAACTGGATTTATAATTTTATGAATCTTTTTTGTTTGTGTTGGGGCAGGTGTCCGTATGTGGTTATTATAAATTCCTTACACCGTTTGTTTTATCACAGCCTTATGATCCTTTTTTTTCAGGAGATATTACAAGAAGTAAATCAAGTAAAGTTAAAACCCTCAAAAAAACCAACCGCTTCATTACAAGTTTAGCCTTCCGAACAACTGAAAAAAATGCTAATCTCTTTGTAACGACCGTTGATTCCGTGTTTTTGTATAGTATATCGCAAAACGATGAATTACTAGTAAGTACGCTCTGCCTCTATTGATTCTTACTCTCAGAATTTTGTGATAGATGTCTGTGTCTCATCAAAAAAAATTTCAAAAACGAGAGGCACTGCAAAATTCTTTAAGCTTTTAATATTTATAAAAAATTTATTATAAATATTGTTTGAGTATGTTTAGATTGCCAGGTTTATTCTATAAAAAAAAGAAATCAATTTAAGGGTTTTAAATTACTCAGGTCTGCATTTAATTATAAAAAGCTATTTTTGTTTCATGCTCAATGTGTTTATTTGTTATTTTAGATAGAATCTAATCCTCGTAACTAAAGTAGACCACATTGTATGAGTACTTCTCTATCGTGCACAAGTTATTACTCCCCATATCCATCAAGATTTCTTTAATGAAACTTTATTGCTCTTAGGTGAACTTGGATGATGGTTCCTCTAGTGTGCAAGGTAAACTGAAGCCCATCGGTTGCAAGCCGAAATGTTCCACGGCCACCGAATCTATCAGAGACTGCCATTTCATGATTGCAAATGAAGATGTAAGATCCTCATCTGGTATTTTCCTCACCCTCAATTTTTGTACATTCATTTGAATTATTCAAAAATGTAAGGAGAAGAATTGTGGTAGGCGCAGAAGGAAAATTGGTCATAGTTCATTTTTAATTTAGGGATGAGAGAAATTTACGGTCAGAGCTACAATCTGCTGGAATCTAGTCAATGATGAAAGAATCTGTTTTTGGCCCATAAGAAATTTCCCGGTCTTTACAGCTTGAAATAAAAAATTATAAATTTCTTCGTACTTTTACTCCTTGATAAAGTTGAGTCGCTGAATTCAAAAATGACTTCAGATTAGAAGCATGTATCATTCACATGAATAGTAGAAGCTTTTTCCCTGAAAAATTGTAATATATATTTGAAAACCAAAAGAACATGAAAAGAACAGTGATCCTTTTTTCAACGACTAAATGCGTCAATCGAAGCTATTTCTTTGTTTGTTTTTCTTTTCTTCCTTTTTTTTCAGGTTAGGTCCTAGATTCTCCTCAAATCAGCAGCAATCAATTCCTGTTGATCCTAAGAGAAGACAAAATTGACTTCTTTCTTGTCAAAAATTCAGTTATGCTCATTTTGACCATTCTTGCATTGATTTTCCCCTTTGTCATATTGTTCTGTTGGAAGTGAGGTCATTTTCTGTGCAAGATTTGATAAAAAGATTAGGAAATACCTAAAGCTAATAGACACGCATGCTGATAGTCAAATTAAGGTACATTTTGCAATCAGGAACTATAATTTCTGGCTCGTCTGTAAAAACTCTTATGTGCAGAGGAAAACTAATGGTACATACATCGCTGCAGAATTGCAGAATGTAGTCCAATTGAACTATCAGCTCTCATATATTTGAAATGGAACAAAAGCTGATTAGCAGATGAAAGATCAGAAACTTGTCCATTGACTTTTTAACTTTCTCTAAATCATATAATCATTCTTATACCTTTTATATTTGCAGGCAATTTATTGTTACACATCCGATGTACGTGGACCTTGTTACGCAATGGATGGAGAAAAAATTCTTCTAAGTTGGTTTCGGACATATCTTATTATTGTCTCAAAAAATTCAAACATGAATACAAGGTATGGATTATTTTATTTGATAGATTCTTAAACTATGTTTTCAATTAATTTCAAAACATCCGACTCCATTCATAGACAAAATTGAATGAAATGAGTGTATGTTGTGTTGTAGGAAATTAGCAATCTCAGGCACTTTGCAATTGGCTTGCAAATTGCCTAGGCATTTCGCGAGCCAGCAGATTGCCTAGCAATATGCATACTGCCTAGGCAATTTGCGAGCGGCAAGTGATGGATTGAAAAAATGATGAAGCAATGAAATTTTACATTGAAGTTTGGTGTGATATTCTCAGTTTCGATGACTTATTGTTAAGCAGGTCACCAGTTGCAAACACTCAGCATTTCTCAGTTTCCGAAAGTTCACAAAACGCGGCATTAGAATTCGGATTATATGCAGATTTTAAACTTAAAAATTATGGTAAAATTGGATTGTGAGTGTTAATTTTTTTTTTTTTTTTTTTTTTTTTTTTTAGTTTTAACGTTATAATTGGCTTTCTCGAAATTAGGTGCAAGGAGTTCCTACGAACAATATGAAACTGGAAGATATTGATTGAAAGAAAAAAATTTCAATACAAGAGGCTGCAACTCATTACTCGCTTTTCAGTGGACAAGGATTTAAGAAGTGTAATTGCTTACCTTTAAAAACCCAGTGCCCCATTAACCATTGCTCCTGATATAAAGCCAAATTAAATTACAACAATCGCTGCCCTTCTTCTACGACATGTGAAAACAAATAAATTTTTATCAGGTTTTGAATACCAATGCCACGTTTTATTCACTTTAAAACTATAAAAATTAATACTCACAATCAAATTTTACCATGATTTTTAAGTTTACTTGTCCTTTTAATCCAAATTCTAGTGCCGCATTTAGTTTACTTTCAATAATTGAAAATTGCTAAGTGACTACAACTGGTGACCCGCTTAACAACTTGTCATTCAAACTGAGAACATCACACCAAACTTCAAGGTAAAACCTCATTGCCGCATAATTTTTCAATCCATCACCTGTGGCTTGCAAATCGCCTACACAGTATGCATATTGCCTAGGCAATTAGCCGGCTTGCAAAATGCCCAGGCAATTAACAAGTCAATTGCTAATTGCCTACAACATGTGCATCAAATGAAGCTTTCAACTCAAAAGTCTTCATAATATCAATATTCGTTACCGCGAATCATGCAGTTGTGGGGATAATCATTACAATAACTAAAGCTACGAACTGGAAAGGAACTGTGGATGTTAACTGATTTAAGTGTCGAAGCGCAGCAAAAATCAATACTTTTCTTCTCTTTTGTTTATACTCTGGAGGCTCTCTGAGGTCAGAACATTAAAGTTTTTCTTGTTCAAATAATCTCCAGAAACAACATTCTAATCTCTTACTCCATTTTTTCCTTGTTAATTCCTTGTGGTTTTTTTTTTTTTTTTTCCTTCTTTTTTTATAGGCTGAAAATACTTTAATTCAATTTTTACCTTTCCCTCTTTTGCAGCAGTAATGATTCAGTCACTGTAACGATACTGGACGTTCACCATAAGCTCATAGTTTGTAGTCAGAATGTGCCATCTGTCACTGCTGTTCTCATTGAATGGGGTCTGATTTTTATTTTTACCTCAGATTTGTCATTACATCTCCTAGCTGAGAAGCATATCCAAGCTCGCCTCACATTGTTGTTCAAGAAAAATTTATACGATGTAGCTATAAGGTGAGAAATTATCTAACGAGTTAAGTTTTAAAAATAACTGCTATCATCTGATCCCTTATCAGATTATCCTCATTCTAAAATTGAAACACTATCTTTATAATTTTTGGGCTTTTCTTGAATGTTTTATTTTTGTATTTGTAGTTGTCTTTAATATTGGAGTTTGAAGTAAGAGTATCTCAACTCCATTCTAGAATTGGACGTATTTATGCTAAAAGGAACCAGAGACGAGTGGGAAAGAAGAAGCGTGCTCATTAGTTGAGGGCTTTAAGAATGAATGGGAGTTATAGAGTATCAGTTACGTCAACTAGGACGGAATAGGGATTGGTGCACTTTAACCTATGAGCCCTGTACACAACGCTCGTGTCACATGCCCATGACTCATGAGTCAGATGTTTTGGAGCTTAGTTCCTTTTGATTTAATGTAAATTGCCACTTTTCCATTTTTCCAAAAGGAACTCAGACAGCTTGAGTTCGTGTGAGTGACCCTGCTCTTACACTGTTCCTTATGTAGCTTTCTATAGCACACTCCATCTTTCCCACCTGTCTCTAGCTTCTTTTAGCATAAATACATCCATTTCGAACTTCTAGCTCGGACAAAATATTCTATCTCTTGAAAATAATCTAATTTTCATCTCTTTTACTGCTTGAGTAGCTGCATTATATCATGCAGAATAGTTCTGAAAACATGAAGCATGAATATGAAGTTATTTGCTCAGAAGTTGACATTTTCTGCAGAAAAATATTCAAAATTTTGAATCGAATTACAGCATTCTTCGCTGAATTTAAGGAATAATTGTGCAAAGAAAAATGTGTTCGCACGAAAATGAAATTTCTTTAAATTTCTTTTAGAATTATGAAAGTTTTAATAATTTGACACGAAAATCTAATCAATTCCTGGTGACAGTTTTCCCAATTATATTTTTCACCTTTCAGGATGGCAAAAAATCATCAGTACGACACAGAAGGTTTAACAGAAATTTTTCGACAGTATGGTGATCATCTGTATGGAAAAGGGGATCATCAAGCTGCCATTGAACAGTATATCAAAACGATCGGAAACCTAGAACCGTCTTATGTAATTTGTAAGGTAAGAACGCTCGGATTTCTTAGTGTTCCTGAGTCATATCAAGTTTTTGCAGAGATTGTGCTTATGAAGAATTTGAATAACTTTTAATAAAGCAAGTGGAAGCTATTTATTTATTTATTTATTTATTTATTTATTTATCCATTTACTTACAACTGGTACATAGGAGCCAACATAATGGCTATCATATAAGTCAGTGTTCACAAAGAGAATTGTAAAATTTTTAATTTGTGGACAGAATTCACTCAATTCATTAAATGGATTTGAAAGAAGATAGTTTCTAAGATCAGTGCAAAATTTTTCAAGGTCTGATTCTCTGAACATTGTTTTCAAATTGGAGGGGAGTGAATTAAACATTCTCATAGATACGACTTTAATATTAGTTTCAGACACTCTGTAGGATGTTAAAGGAGTAGAGATACTATAGCTTCTGATATTATAAGAATGACATGGTAGAAGATCATTAGTTTTAATGAATCTCTTTTCAACTGAATATTTTAAATATGCAAAGAGGTATTGAGATGTCGGTGAGAAAAGTTGGCGATAAGTAAGCAATTTTTTACAATCACTATTATAGGTTCTATTAAATAGAAGTCTTAGAATCTTTAGATGCTCTGTAGTACCTAACTAGCTTGGTTTAATTACTCCCCCCCCCTCCCGATTAATCCTGTAACGCATGTGCAACATTAAATTAGCATGGTAGAATATTAGAGCTGATTCAATAGAAGCAATTATTACCGAATTTCTTATAGCCCACTTGCTTCTTTGCAATATGCATACTAAATTATTAATATGCAATTTCCATGTTAAGCAGTAATCAATGTCAACTCCCAGGAAATTAATATGTTCTTATAAACTTAATTGAATTTTTTTTTAAAGCTATTGGCACGTATACGTAGTATACCGCCTTTGCGATCGTTTCGACCCCCCACTCGATACAATAACCGAGTCCCTTAGTTCCTTACCGAAAAGTGACTACCGNCTTTGCATGGAAATACGTTTAAAATAACAAAATCAAGACATATCTAATGCAATTGCATTTATATCGAGTCAATTTTTTTTCAATAATATAACGGGATTTATAATGCCGGTGATTTGGGTATTTTAGCCCCAAAATACCTTTAAATCGACTTTATCTTTCAGGAGTTCGACAAATTTTTTTCTTTCTTCGCTCAAATTATTACGTAGCACTTTTCTTTAAGAAACTGATAAGGTCTTGCTTGGGGCAGATCAAAAAACTTAAACTCGTTCGAATGACTTTTTACATTCACAATACACGGTCTCGTCAAGGTGCGTCGTTGACCTCTCAGTGTTGGATCGTATGAATTCTCTTGTTGTGCTACTTGCCTATTTTGAAATCTCTGTAAATGAAAACTAAAAAGGTTGATATGTGCGAGTTAATGACGCGCCTTATCAACACATTGTGTTGGAGTTCACTGCTTGTTTTTTCTTTTATCATGCATTAAATTTATGTGTGATTAATTATAAATATTTTTCAAATTCCTTTATAAGAGTATGACTGTATTTTGTGAAACTTAAGTTTTCACAAAAATATGACTTCGAGTTTCTATTTGTATTGATCTCCCTCACTGTAATTTCTTCCAGTTCCTTGGCTCTCAGCAGATCGATATTCTGACTACGTACCTTAATGCTTTGCACAAAGAAAAAGTTGCTTCTGGTGACCACACAACTCTTTTGCTCAACTGTTACACAAAACTGAATAACCTGGATAAATTGAATAGTTTTATCATGGTATGTTATATGTAATACAATATTTCACTCTCTAATATTTGCTTTACTGATCCATAGTGGTTAAAAACCAATCTGGTCATGGGTATAGGACTGCAGGAACCTTGAGTTATAGATCCTAATTTTCCCTTTTTCCATGCAGGTCACCATCAATGTAAATGACATTTTTTGAATAGAGAAAAGAAAATGTACACCTCTCATATGTCAAGTAAACAACGAGCCTTACATTTCATTCTTTTAGTGTATTTTCCATTTCAACTGCTGTCCTCCATCTTTTCTAATATTTTTGGAATTAATGTAGGGTGGCCTTTTGGCTTTTAACCTTCATAAATGTCCCTAGTTTTTTCGCAGATACTTCCTGAATTACTTTTTTTTCCAATCTTTAATATTACTTCTGTTCTTTACAGTGTTCGAAAAACTCAATTTTTCCTCTGTTCCTCCCTATTATTGTTAGATATTTTTACTTTTTCTATTTTTGTTTTTTTTACATTACCTTAGACAGAGGACAAAGAAGTTGATTTCGATGTTGAAGTGGCCATCAAAGCTTGTCGAGGTTCATGCATCGACAATGCCCTGAAGCTGGCAAAAAAACACCGCCGTCATGATTTGTACCTGACAATTAAAATCGAAGACCAGCAGGAGTATGAGGCAGCTCTAGATTACATCGCTAGATTACCATTTGATGAGGTAATGTTCATATCTTGGCAATATACTTTCTAAAATGAATCTCTTGATCCTGAATTCATTATTTTTTGTAAAAAAAATAGAACTTTTGCCACCAGGCCTTGCAGAAGTTCCTTTAATTTGAAATTCATAAAATGCTGACGGTTTTTTTTTTAAATAAGAGGAGCCTCTAATGTTGAAGAGCAATTCCGTCCTCATTTTCTTAATTACAATCTCGAGGATATTGCTGAAGACTTGAACAGAGAACAGTAATCTTAACGTGTGTTTTTTGGCATGAAATGTGTAATACTTACATTTTAGAACGTAATTCATCCCTTGTACGTCCTCTTTTTTCAGGCAACGGAGAGTATGAAAAAACATGGCAGCACTCTGTTACATTACATTCCCAGTGAATCAACCCAATTTTTGAAAAAACTTTGTACAGATTTCACTCCTAAAGAGGTCAGTTTAAAAGATTATTTTCAGAATCGACACAGCCAATTTGATATTATTATTTAGTTAATCTCAGAGTCAAAAAGTAAATAAAGAAATAATCAAAGATGATTATTGCGTATGCTCCAATATCCTGTTGATAATTTATGCATGCTGCACCTACAATGTGTTGCTATAACAAAATTTTCAGGGATTAGCACCTTGCTGATCAGAACTTTATGACATACACACCAAGAAGTCTTTGCTTAAAACATTTTTTCGATCACACACCAGGAAAAAACAGTTGCTGGATTAACATCGCAGGATGTTAAAAAACTGCGTTAGAACTCCAGAACGTGGACATGAACACTTCCATTGTTAATCCAACATTGCTCGGATGTTACTTCAACAGCCGGAGTGTTTATGTCAACATTCCAAAGAGTAGAGAAGATTTTTAACATCCTTGGATGTTGGTCTCTTCTTGTCGGTTAGACAAAAGTTAACTTCATCATATTGAATCATTCACATGTGACACAGGAATCGGAGTTGAAGGCAAGTAAAAAAAGGAGGGGGGATGAGGAGAAAAAAGACAGATCTTGAATTTTTTCCTCAGAATTCTAAGATGATGAGCGATTGAGCTCAAACTTTAGGTTTATAAAATTCATAGATACCTAAGCAATGCATATATTTTTAGAGTGAGACAGTCGTTATCTTGTACCTTAAAAGATGCCATCTTTTTCAGGAAGAAAATGATACAAAGGATTCTACCAAAGAAAAATCTGCCAATGTGCAGCATGCTAACCCAATAGACTTCATTCCGATGTTCCTCAATAAATCCAAGTATCTAGTTGAATTTCTGGAGCATTTGGTGCAGGTGCGTTTTAAACACTTTTTAAAAATGACTGAATTCTGCAATTTAAAACAGGTGTCTTTGATGATATCTCAGTTGTGGAGCACGTTTTACATTTCTTGTTGTATTGATCTTGATCACAGGCTGTCTTTGAGCTGATCTCAAATATGTATATCAATGAACATTGATTTCCTTCTAGATCAGGGCGAGAAATTGTCCAAAAAATTATGCGTCAAAAATAAAATAGTGTAAGGTAACTCACTTGCACATGAATAGAATACGACTTTTTTGGAGTGCATATTTCTGACTCTGGCCCACCGTCAGCGCATCTTACACTTAGGATATCTGAGGGTTGCAATGGGTATGGACTGGAGCCCGAATTACATTTGCCGATAAAATCTTATTCTATTAACGTCCAAGTGAGTTTCTTTTATTATTATTTTTTAAATACTTGATTAATTTTGTTCTCCTGTAAATTTTACTGTTGTTAGAAAAGGGTATATGTACCAACAAAGAAATTCTAGAGAAACTACAAAAAACTTCATCGGTATGTAATCCCTCCATGACACATTGACATTATTATTTATTCTCAAAGTATTTAATTGCTAGTCCCATGAGGATCTCAAAAGAGAGAACTATTTTTACTACTTTCATGTGGAAACTACCCTGCTGAAGAAAATATGTATCTTTTTCTTCTTTTCACCATTTATCGATTTATTTTTGTTGCAGATTCCAAGTAAACGGAGTGAGTTAGTATATCACACTTTAATTGAGCATTATTTACGGACGAAAAATCATCTTGCTGATGAGCAAGTGATGCGACTTCTCGAGTCATCCAATACTTGTTATGATAAGCTTCAAGTTTTAATATTGTGCCATAATCATAATTTTATTCCTGGTATGCTGTTTTTTTACAAGGAAAATAAAATGTAAGTTTATGAACTATAATAATGTGCATGTGTACAACAATGAGTCCACCAACTGTTGATTTTTTTCTTCTTGTTTCTCCTCAATTCCTAGAGAATTGTAAGGTTTCATTACCTCAAACTGTTTAAGTAATAAGAAATAGATAAAATCTGGGGACTTTTCCAATTCAGGCGTTAAATCCTCAACCAAGAATTTTTACCTCTTTGAGAAGTATTCCATTAGTTTTACACTATATTTTTTTGGTCTTTATTCAGTATTCAATGGCCAAATTTCAAAATCACGTATCCTCATGGCGGTGTCTCAAAATGTCTGCTTTTATTTTATTTTTGCAAAGGGAAACAAGTCAACTTTATACCTTGAAATTTATACAGAAGATTTTGCTAAAAGAGAGGAGCAATCAAGGAAGGTTGCAAGAAATTATACTAACCAAAGAAATTATAAATTATTTTCCAAAGAAAAAATTAATTATGACAGGAAGCCTCCAATGTGCAAACACAGATTTCTGATTTGCTCTTTGACCATGGATATTAAGTATAAAAATTAGGAAATATGATGTTCAATATGTTTGTGTTATATTAGGCTATGATCTGACATTTTACATTGAATGACCATAAACAATACTTGTTTCTTTTCTTTTTGTTGTTTGTTGATGCTGTTTTCGGTGCTGGAGTTGTAAATTTTACCTTGACTCTAAGTTCTGAATGAAACATACCGGGATAGGCAAAAAAAAACGCTTGATATGCTATAACTTTTTCAATTTTCGAGTGAAAATGCTCTGGTTTGGACTCTTGTCCTAATCGCCAAGGGGGAAAACTTTTTGAGGGTCATGACATGACCCCCGAAATATTGGTATCTTCAAACAAGGACCCCCTTTCGTGACACATCAAGTTATTGCATCCTGAGTGTTTTTTTTTGCCCATTCCGGTATCGCAACGTTTAAATGCCAAATTTTTACCAATTCTCGTATCCTTACGGAACCAGCAGCTACTATAACTTATATTTTGTATATTTTTCAGGTATTCGCAAATTTTAAACCATCACCTTGCGGTGGGTAATTACCATGCAGTGCTCGAAACTTGCAATAAATTCGGCAGCCAGAATCGTGGCCTATGGCTAGAAGCTTTATTTATTGGAGCTCGCCGCAACTGCCTGCCCCCTGCCATCTTGACTGAAATTTTATCTGTGATAGGTAAGATTTTAGTAGGCTGAAAATTGGCCGAATCAATTTCAGACTACTGAACAAGAATCTGTAGTCGACTACCTTATAAAGAGAAAACAGACCGTCTGTTTAAGGTCGTTCTTTCGCACTTTTCAGAATGACTCAATAGTAAACCCCTTAATTGATAATGTCTAAATTTTACGTTTTTAGGGAATTTCCTTGAGAATTTTGAAGTATCACATCACGTTGTTCAGCATATCAGATATTTGCACCGGAAATATGACCAAGAAACAATTTGACACAGCTTTATAAGTATCTACATCCTGAATGAATATTGCAAATGGAAAGGTGGAAATCGATGTGCAATTTTTAATTGGGACATGCTTTCAGAGTAATTTCAAAAAGTTTCTCGGTCAAATTTTGTGCATAACTACCCAATGTACGACATTGTCACATGATGCTTGGAAATTCTCAAGAAGTAACCTAAAATCCAGAAATTATCGATAGACCATCAAAATGTTTTCAGAAGTGCTAATGACTCACTTGAATTGCAAACATCAATGTTCAAATTTTATAATTGCTGTAGATGTTCTTTAAATGTTCATAGTTTCAACACTGCTTGAAGTAAATTCTCATGAGACAAATATTTTTATTAACAAGTTTAAAAATGAGACCAAGTTTAGAGTTTAATCAGTGAATATTCAGTGGTACATATGCAGATTTTAACCAAATATTAAGCATTCATAAAACTTTCTAATGGACTCATTATTGTCAGCAGGAATGCAGTAAATGCTGGCGCTCCGGATTCTAAGATTGGCTAATGTAGCAAATGGGGGGGGGGATTTTGGGCAGTCAAGTAATTTTGAATACAGATGACTTTTCCTCTGCCCATAACTGTGAAAAAATTTGGGGGAAATTGTACATTCATCGAGTAATTACTACCAGGTATTTCGCAATAAAATCAGACCTTTGGCAATAAAGAAAAACGTCAGATCACAGCCAATGGTCAATGTTTTGCAATTTTCTGCCCCCCATCCCCACCCCCTCCTCCCAGGACATTGCATATGCTGTGCAAATTACTACGATTGACAATAATTTACTTGTCGCCACTTCATCAATCTTCATAATGTCCATCCAATATTTAATATTCCTTTTTATATTTTCAGAGAAAGAGAAGCTGCTTTCTCCTTTATTATTGGTAGAAGAGCTTGCTTCCTGTACTGATTCCGTTGGAGTCAACCTTGGTGCCATTCGTAGTTATTTGAAAACAGTTTTGACAAATGAACGGAGTATTGCAGAAAAAGAACACGCACTTGCCAACAAGTACAGAAAAGAAACAGCCAAAATTCGGGATAGGATTAGAGAAATCCAGAGCAAGTAAGTATTTTCTCATCACAAGTTTTTTCATCTAATACTGTTTCTGTGGATTTTTCATCTAAGAGGTGTTTTTCATTTGTATCTTGTAATGTACTTCTCCCATCAGTTAAAAGTGCAGCCCCTCAGCGATGTTTCACCCTTTTTTCCTAATATACCTAAAATCTAGTTTTCTTTTTATTGTTGCATAATGTACTTCGTTAACACTGTATCGGCACTATAAACAAAACCTCAAACAAGGATGGTAAAATAAAAAATTTTCGAAACCGATCAAAACCAAGTCTTGCTTGGTTTTTTTTTTTTTATTTATCCATCCTTGTGTAAGATTTTGTTTTAAAAACTAGTTTTTTTCGTGTGTTCTTTTTCTGTATTTATCTTAACATTTTTAATTAATGAAAATGACTTACGTTACTTATTTCATTACTATCAACTTTATTTCCCCTAGCATATTCTGTGTAAAGATGTATTTATTTCTTATTCTTGTTGCAGTGCTGTCGTATTCCAGAGCTCCAGGTGTAGTGCGTGTAACAATCAATTAGAGCTTCCTTCCGTCCACTTTTTATGCCAGCATTCTTTTCATCAACAGTAAGTGTACCACAAACTTACCAAAATTAGTAACATGTGATAACTAAATTTTGTAACAAGTATTGGAAAAAGAATCAACAGGAAATAAACAAGGTACGGCTAAAACTGAGGGGGTTGGCAGCTATTTGATGAAAGGGGACCTTTTAAAAGCTGCTAAATCAGTTCACTACTTTGCTGATATTGTTCTTGTCTTATAATTTATAGCTGCAACCCATATAAGTTGGAAACTTATGAGTTTCCAACTTGAGGGTCCAAAAAACATTCTCGTCAAATGTTAATTATTCGATTACCAATTGTTATTAGGGAGGGAGGGTGTGTGTGTGTGTGTGTTTTTTTTTTAATTTTAATAATCCTGCATGAGTTGGTCAATTTTAGCAGAGAAATTGCAAAAACTGATACCCTCTTATTAGGTACTGTATTTATTTTACTATTCATACATGTTAGCCTTTTGGGGCTGTAGTACAAGTTAAAGGTAGGAGGCTGGTGGACAGCTATTTTGTCCCTGAAGAGACATTATTTAAACCCTTCAACAGCTATTTTACAGAGTAGGAGGCCAAGCAGAAACTTCTAGATGGACGGCAGAAACAGATTGAGGCAAGATGAATGTCAAATTCATGGGTGAAGCAATGATTTAATATTCAGCTTGTCTAATTTTTTAGGAAGAAAGTGATTTTCTTCTCCCTAATCAATCCAATATCTGCTCCTTGATTGTTGAATCGTTATCGAATGACCTTGATCGATATATAGCATTGTTAAGATAGGGATTTATCGATCAGAAGCATTCGATAACGATTCAACAATCGACCCGCTGGACGTATTTCTGTCAGACAGATCTATGTGCATCAAGACATGAGCCCTGAGACCCATTAGAATATTTGCATAACAGGGCTCACGTCATAATGCACATGGTTCTGTTTGACAGAAATGCGTCCATTTGTTGGTATTCTTCATAAAAAAAATTGTTCTTTGTTGAAAAATTCCCTCTATGAAAAAAAGTAGTCATCTAAATTTTATTTTCTCTCTCAGTTGTTTCCAGAGCTATGCTGAGAATGAGAAAGAATGCCCAGCATGTTTACCAAATAATCAACCAATTTTGGATATCATCCAGTCTCAGGTAAAGCTGGAATTTTTCAAACTCTCTCTCTAGTTATGAAGTTCTACACTCCTCAAGTATGCTTGCGACCACATCATCTTATTTTGATTTCAAATTTTCAATATTGATTGTCATTTCGTCCTCAAGAATTGAGTTATTGGAGGAATGAAACCAAACCAAAGCTATAGGCGGTTTGAAGTTTGTTCTTAAAAACACGTTTATTTCCAGAAAAAGCTGTTTGAAATTCTAATTTGTCATACTCAGAATAGCCAAATCAAAATTGGATACATTTTAATCAAAAGAAACTTTGTGAATTTTGATCTGGTCTGTAAAACCCGTAAGGATAAATACATGACAGGGCTCATTTCACAGTGGCGGTAATTCGATTTAAATACGCCTAATTGGCCCACCATGGGTACAGAAATGAAGTAAATGGCTGCAACTTTTTTTTTCAGGAGAGAAAGTTTTCCATCAAAAGTTTAAAATCCGATTTTTAATCACAATTCAACAACAAATTGGGGTGCATGACTCAGAATTTTGCTTCTGTGAACTTTTCTATTCTTACAACTAGTCCTGTTGGAAATGTGTAAGCATAACCAGGAAATAATAAATTTGATGAGAGAAATCATTTCTACACGATTCAGTGACATATTGAGTCTTAAGTGAAAGTATTTCTGCTAAACGAAACTAAGTGCCAATTTCAGTTCTATTTGCGGATTTTATAATCCCGGGTAGGAGGTTCTGTCAAATGGATCCAAGCGCCATGGAAGAGCATTGTGAGCATAGAATGGAATGAGCTCGTCGCCCAGCAGCAACCGCCAATCCAAACCCCCTTCTCCCTTCTTCCCCCTACGCCGCTTAGTTCCATCTAGTAGAAAAATGTCCAAATTCAATTTAAAATGTATCTCCATGCGCTAAAAGAGTTGAATGTTTTGTTAACAGGAAAAAAGTCGAGAGGGGAGCCAAACTTTTCACACTCAGTTGGAAACAGCTGAAGATGGATTCTCTCTTGTAGCACATTATTTTGGCAAAAGGGTTTTTAGAAAAAGTGCACTAATCCCTGATCCTGCAGGTATTTCTTATTTCCCTGAAACTTTCAGTTTGCATTTGCTTAGCACTATTGTACTCAATTTCAGTCTCAAGTTCTTCTTCTAAAGAATCAGGCTTCATTGAATTTAAATCTTGATAATTTTCTCAGCAAGTCAGCTTGAATTGGATAGATTATACCATAATTACCCTAACTACATTAGACGCTGTCTAATTTTCTCTTGTATTTATTTTTTTTCAAGAAAACTATGCAAGATTCCTACTTAAAATTTTGCAAGTATATTGAGTACAATTCATGGAAAATTGAGAGCAAGTTTTAAGGCATTGGCTTGTCTTGATTTCTGTCTGAAGAATAAGATAGGTATAAGAGGAAATCAGGCAATGTGAAATGCAGTTAGACTGATTTCAGTTAAACCCGTCCTTGTTAATGTTGAAATAACTGCTCAGAATTTAAATTAATTGTATAATCGACTTTGAAAAATTTGAAAATAATATCTGATAAAAGGGTCCTGAGTGGAAGTAAAATATTGATGATAGTTTTTGTACATCAATTCATACAACTAGCCATTTTTTTCTGGTCTCGGGAACACTTTTAAGAACTCTCGCCTCTCTTTAAACATGATGGATGTTTTGATATTTAGCAGCCAACTATCTAATATTCATACAGTGATTCGGTAAATTCCTTGGTCAGAGCTGCAAAAACTACTCGATAGTCTTTTGCATCAATTTGAAGGTTGCCAAAAATTGAGGGCAACCAAATTTTTGTGTCTCTCCCTAGTTTAAGTGATAGCATCTATCATGCCTACATTTGCCACTTTTTGTATAGAATATTATGTAATGTGCTGTTTATGTGAAAAAGGAATTGCACGATGTCTAAAGTGTATGATGATGTAGGTGTTGCCGTAAAAAATGTGAACACAGAGAATATTTTGCACCCTTGTCAGGCTTAAAAAAGTAACATGTCCTTCGGGAAGGCCTTTAAAAAAGAACAATATTCAAGAGGAAAAAGAGAGCTAGCGTAGCGGAGGAACTATATACTCTATACTTTTTAAAATAGGCTCATGTTTTGCTCCTAGTCAAGTATTTACTTTAAGTGAAATTATAACTGAAGCTGCTCAGTTTAATTCAGTTCAGTTCGTGTTTCGGGAACAAAATTCTCTTTTGGCTCGGGTTGTTACCAACCACTGGCCACTATAACTAATTGTGAATTAATTTAATTTAAAAGCTCTAATGCAAGAACGATTTCTTAATGCATTTTTCTAAGCATCTATCTTGTTGAACTTTCATATTATTTTTCATAAATGAAACCCATGGGTGGTAATTTCCACCCATTGCTTCTCGTTCTCATCCGAGGAGAAACTGAGGAGTTAGAGTTTTACAGTTTTTGTTTGGGTTTTTCATATTTGTCCTCCTCTATTTCAGGTTTGGTCAAGGAATATAAGAAATTAGCAGAAAGTAAATCAATAGATAAGGCAGAACTTGACTTGATGCCAGTTATGAATCACTATGCTTCAGGTATAACAATTCTCATGTATTTATTTTATTCCTCATTAGGCTCCATGAATTACTTAAGATTAGAATTTCAGAAAAATCAATCAAATTTCAGACACCTGCAAATTCTCTATTTCAGTAAAAAACACTCGCCTGCTCACTAAGTCACACCAAGTTTGATGTTATAGAGCATACAGTTAATAAGAAAGCCCATACTACGTACCTTTAAAATATTCACACCCTTCTACACAGCTTCGAAGTATTTTCTCTACTTTATTTGAAGGAAATATTGGTATTCTTCCCGCCTAAATATACTAATTTATCAATTTTTTGCAGAATCAAAGTTCATTGATATGTTTGGATCATCAAGTCAGACCTACACCGGAGAGAACCATGTTGACCTTGCTTCGTCCTTGCAAAACAGCATCCAAAATTTCTCCTCCTCTATATCCTCCTCGTTGGAAAACAGAAATTTCTTCTCTAATGAAGCTACATCAAAAACTTTAGACAGTGACCTTGGTTATGATGATTCCAAAAATCCATTTGTCAATGAAGATACTTCAAAGAACCCATTCTTGAATGATGACTATGATGACAACAAAAACCCATTTGTTTAGCTGTTTCATCAACGAGTGATGACGTTACTTGATAAAGGCGGTGATCGAATTGGTAAACATCCAAGTTTCATTTGCCAAAGAGCAAGTTAATTCTAACCGCAAGCCACAATAGAACTTTAATTAAAATAAATCAATTTATCAGTGATTTTGCATTTCTACTTAAACTTTAAACTGGCTAATTTCTTTTCATGATCATAATTTGCTGTACGCTTTCCTTAGCTAGTTAATTAAATTAATATCCATGGCTGTGATGCAATTACGGAAGTTTTTTAATATTTATCCCAGTCAAGAACTTGGAGATATGTAACTGAGATACTCTGAGAAAAAATGGAATATCAGAACCTAGTTTTCATTTTTGTTACCAAAGCTATAAGATCCTTAGATCACAAGCAATTTTCTAGCCCTCAGGGTGGCTTCTTCGCCATCACGAAAATCTCACTCAACTTTAATTTTGACTTCTTTGCAATAGGTTAGCTTAAAAACTTCCTTCTAGCAGTTCTCCATTTACTTTTAACTAGGGACTTCAGTTTAAATTAGACTTTGATCGCGACAGGGAACCCTTCATTCTTCTCTCCACCTTAGAAAAACAGGCAGTTCTATTAGATTTGTTTATCTCTAGTATGCAGTACGCTTGTACCAATAAAAAAATACCTACTTTGTTTTACAAAAAATTCCTTTTCACTCAAAAAGACTGATAGCTACTACTTGTCCCTTTACTTAGGTAAATATTCCTAATAAACAGGGAAGAATAACTTGCTCTAGAAATGCCTTCCATTTTTAAACTCTGTATTACCTTGATCATCTTGGGGCGACAATGAGGCTCATTTATTCAGTTTTCTCCTTGTTTTCTCTTTATTCTTTCCATACCTATTACATATGATCTATTTTGTTTGCTGTTCTGATTTTTTGGTTGCCGACTCCCGCCACAATTCATCAGATAATCGAGGTATTATTGTATTTCTCTCTTTTGATGCTGCTGCATTAATCATCTCTGCTACTCAGATCCTAAAAAATGTCAAGTTACTTAATCAAGAATTTATAACTGCTGTTTAATTTTGAAGCTTTCAAGTTTTGAGTAGTATGAGCCAAATACCCAAGTTTTATCTTAATTTTACTGGTGAGTTTACCATGCGTAATATAAGTCATAGTTTCAACAGATTTTAGTCGTTATTGATCGTCATGATTCATATACATACTATATTATTAATGATGTTTTGTCAGGATTGAATCAATATTGCAATCCAATAATTGCATAAAACAATCAATGAAAAAATATTTTACTATGATTCAGCATGTTCTTGTTATCATGTTTTTGTTTTTAATTAATCAAAGTTTTTATTCTTCAATTTTTGAGTCATCATTTCTTCCATTTCATCAGTTTTTGAAATGCTTTGTTACCTGTTGACTGCTGGGCGGCCGTTCATGAAATACATAATTCTAAAAATAGGATTTTTTTTACTACTCCCCCTCCCCTTTACTTACCCCCATATGAAAATTATGCAACCCTCTGTAGAACCTTTCACCTTAAATTGGCGTTTTGTGATGAATTTTAGATGAAAAATTAGTACCTCATATAGATTTCTCATCTTAAATTTTAAAAAAGTTAGCGCTGTAAGTCTGTTCCAGTGTTATGTAATGCAGCCCCGAACGTCTCCTTTCCCACCTGTAAACACACCCATAACACAGGCTTAGAGAGGAAGTTTGAGCCTATGAAGGGTCCCTTACGTATTTTATCAACGGTCCCTGGTAGGTTTTTTGGCTGCCATGCCCAGATAACTCTGGGCATGGCAGCCCAGAGTATGGCAGCCCAAGTATTGCAAACAGTGGTTAACGATTTAAAAAAACGAAAGAAAAAAAAATGTATCAAGAAAGTGTGATTTTTTAAAACAAAATAATTTATTGTTTTACGATACAAAATATGTATACTTAATAGGTAAATAGACTTATTATATTAAAACAAATACAAAATTAACAAATGTTAGTGTCTGGACATTTTGTAAAAGAAGTACAAATACATGTACAAGGCATTTTCACAGCTGGAAGTTTTTCAAGTTGTAAAAAAAAAAGAAAAAAAAAAAGAAGAAAAAAACTGAGCTATAGAAAATGCTGAAGGTTGGTTTTCACAGTGTGAGAACAAAAAATACCTCCAAAAGTAGGTAAAAATAATATCACGATTTTGTTACTAATTTGAGGAAAAATTTGTACAAACAGTCACTGGAAGAGAGCTGCAATCTAAGAAAATTGCTTGAGTATTCTATTCAGAGGCATCAAGAGAAACAGAGGTACAGAGACAAGAAGAGCGATGAGAAGAAAATCATGTGTATACGATAGAAGAGAACTTGACCAGTATGATAAAAAATATTCACAATCCATAGTTACATCAAATGTTAACAAAAATATATACTTTTAAAAATTATGCTAATTTATAATGCTACTGCTAATCTTACGGGGAAGAACTTATTTATCAATCTGAGGAAAACTACAGCCACTGATCTACTTTCCTATTTATAGTCTGGCTTATCCAGCAGAAAATTTGTCTTCATTATGCTCTGATGCAAAACCAAAATGTTACAAATTCTGAAAATAATGACATTGTTGTTAAACTAAAATACTGCTCATTGCAAAACAAGTCAGCATGAAGTCCCGTTTCAATTCCAAACGAATGAAATTTTTTTAAAAAGATCAGTGATAAACACTTTGAAAATGCATGGATCAAATTAATAAGCTTTGACAAGATGAAAAGTAAAGCTTCTCCCTGTTGAGGTGAAACGATATAAGTACCGGAAATAATCTTAACCTCACACAGAGAATTCAAATTTTACAAGGCAAAACTTGAATATTTTTTGTTTTTTCCCTTCAGTGTTTAGTTCAATAATATACTTACGGTCTTACTGAATTATCATAAAGAAAAAGAAGAAAAAAGATGGAATGTCACTTGAAAGAGAAAACGTACTATCAGCCAAACCAGAGATACAAAACAAGAAGTCTTAGTTCTGTTTTGATTTTTCAGTTTATTTGTAAAATTGGTTTTCAGTCAATAAAATTGAGCAGGTTGTCAACACATTTAAATAAAAAAAAAATTATGAGAACCCATTGTTTTAGGTGCAAGAACTGCGGGCCCTGCAGATATCAAAAATAAATACTAATAAGCATACTCATTTAAAGCTACAAAAAGTCACAGATTGCGATTAACAATGATATACAAAATTGATGGAGGAAACAAAAATATGTACCTACATACAGATAATATGGCTAGATGATATGGACGGACTCAACAGTCTTACTTCACCATGTTAAACTCGGAAAAAAGTTTCAGGAAATAAGAGATTCTATGTCAGCACAAGATTTTCTAGGAAAAACATCTAAAAAATATTTTGAGCAATCAATGTATCATCAACATTTTCAGCCTTTGAAGCTCATATGAACTGAGTTCAACAGGAACTCGTCCAGTTGCATGTCGGAAATAAAAGAATTGGGAGTAGTTTTGAGTTTAAACAGTCATAAATTTTCTCCTTTTAAAAATTCCAATTCGAGAAAAAATATTCTGAACGAGTGGATGGTCATTAAACTTCGTCTTAAAAATTGCACTTCATGGAGGAATGCAACTTCAATCCACTTTCTCCATTTAAACATGTGACTTGGTGGGTTTCTATTCAACTGAGTCCATACTCAAGACATAGGGAGGAAAAGTCTCAGACATTGCTGATGCAAACGGGTTGAAATATTTAAGATTTCATTTCATAAAAAGAGGAAGTAAAAAAAGCTATCTACTAACAGACCATCTACATTAAGTATGCCTCAGGCAAACCCCTTCAAAAAAAAACCAAGTAGGTGAAGGTTCTCTGTATTTGTTCGTTTCAGCTCAGCTGAGGTAGAGGAAAACAGCAATTAGAATTAAAGGCAGTAATTAATTTTACTGCATAATAGCATATAAACACATTTTTACGGGTATCATTTGTACAATTTCAGTTACAATTGGAACTATAATCCCAAAAACATTGCTTGTAAGTAGGTATGGTTATGGTGCTGTTGAACAAAACACGATTGATAAAGGTATCTGATACGCTCGATAAATCAAACCAATTCCTATCAAAAGTAGAAAGTAATCTTCACTAATTTTCTCTATCTTTGATTGCTTGGTCATTAACTAAATGGAAAAATCCAAGGATCTGAACTTGGGTATAATTTACTCAGGGTTCTGAGATTAGAGGATTTCTCCTTGCCTGCTAGACAAATACATCAGCAGTGAAACTACAGGAACGCGTTTCTCAGTTGAGGTGTTTCAGAATCTTTCCTTCCATTTTATTTTTTAAAAGGAGACTAAACAAACATCATACTTTAACATTTTCACAGAATATTCTTCACATAAAGGAAAAAAAATCATCGAAATTTTTAATAAACAACGTTAAGTAGTTTTCCATGTAAAAAATGAAGTGTGACAGGAGGTCTGAAATGTCGCAAACAGAGAAACGCATGTGGCAGTTTCACCATCCATATTGAGTACACCTGCGGTCCAATATATTGTCATCAGTATTTTCGGCTGGCAAAGGAACTGCAGTAAAATATGTATAATTTCGGACCTCTAGGAGACCCAGATCTAAATACTGAGAATCATTGATATGTGAACTTGAATTACACTAAACAAAACTACCGTTTGGTTGATCTAAATACATGGCTTTCCTCATTCGACAAGTCTTCAGATCTGGTTTCATGTCTTGCGGTGAGGAGACTGATGGCCACGGATTCAACAAAGATAGATTCTTTGGTTTTGGGGGCAAAGGGGGAGGAACATCGCTCAACCTACTGAGGAGACTTTCGTTTAAACAGGTAGAGTTAATGCCGTTGGACTGCACTAGGGGACTTGCATTGACTTTCAACCTGTTGAGCTCAGCAGAATTTGTACCATTGTTGAAATACTCTTCTGCTTTGGACGGGGAGGGAATTATACCATCTATGAATCCTGTATCAACATATCTTGTTCCTAGTTGAGTTGATAACACTTTTTTCACATCTCCGAGTTTCAAGGATGATGCCTGCTCAGCAGTTCCTCCTGCGTCTGTTTCTGTTGGGAACGTCTTTGAGCTTCCTACCTCGTTTGCATCCTCAGATCGAATTTTCCGAATTTTCTTACTGCTACCCTGCGGGGCGTTTTCTTTGTCCTGAATTGAATTTTAAAAAAATAATTAAAAAAAAATTAATAAATAATAACAGGACAAACAAAAAAATAAAATACCAGAGAAAGAAGTAGGTGCTTTGTTCCTTCGGCAGGAATTTTTTCATACATATTTGATATCAATTATGTGAAAACGGACTTCCATTACACTGTCTAGAAATAAGTATGGATCAGGGAATAATTAATACTCTTCCAACCAAAATTGAAATTAATTTAGATTTTGACTACATTTCTAAAAAAAAACTTCAGTTCATTTACATGGGTAGAGCAAACAAATTCTTATCTGTGGAGCACAGACTAGTCATGATTTAAGTTACATATTGCCACCTTCCGGCCAAAGTATCACAACCGCATGCAACGTTTAAAAATTTCCACTGCCAATTTATTTTTTTACAGAGAAATTGTTGTATGAATCTGTTAGAAAATTTCACTGAATTTTATTGGCAGCACAGACAAATTCCGGTGAAATTTTCATACAGCTTCGTTGAACAGTTTCTCTGTAAAACAATAATATGGCCGCGGACATTTTTAAACGTTGCATGGCGCTTGTAATATTTTGGCTGGAAGGTGACGATATGTTAAAAGGAAAGGCATACATACCAGACAATAAAAGGCCATGGAATCTAATTTTTACTTTCGACAAAGATAGGTTGTTCACTAATCTTAAAAGTTAATGCTTTGCTTGCTCGGACCAGAGGAAAAATCCGGTTTTACGAAAGCTCTGAATAATTGCTAATCTGACTGAAAACCCCATCGTTGTTATTATGTAAAGTAAAAATTATAATTAAACAACACAATAACACTTTTACTGTGACTTCATACAATAAATATTTTAAAAATTTATCAAAACATACCTTCAGAAAATCTGGAAGTTCAAAATTGATTTCAGTTCCTCTTTGATCTTCCAAGCGACTCCTTTGCGCCCGTTTCAGACCCTCATACAGGACTGGAAGCAAAAAGGAGAGAAAATCGTATAGGTAAAAATCACTCATCGGGGAAGAAAGGCGATAACTATAAGAAATTTATTATCAAATTTTATTATTTATGAAAGAGAGACAAATGATAAAAATTGAAATTTTACTACAAAAACACATTTTGGAACAAACTTTAAGCTCCTCTTTATGCTACTCTACTAAATATGGTGGGATCATGTATGTCCATCAGATTTATTTCAGTATACATATTTTTGAAGAAAGGAAATTTCAATTTACGTTTCATCTCGTTTCCTTTCATATGAACTATACATTAATTTCAGATTAGTGAATTGTTAAAATGAAAGGAGTCTCCTAACTACTACTGGAAGATGTAACGTAGAGGAAGAATTTCATTAGGAGACGCTTAAGTTATCCGACAATTTTCTTTTAAAAAATAAAACGCGGGCAAAGACTTGCAAAGTCGTAATTGGAGATACGAATTTTCAACTTCAGCCAACGATATGGCAACATGAAAACTGAAAAGCACTGAAATAATTACCATCACTTTCAGAACGTCCATCAGGTTTATTGCTGGATTTCCACTTTGCAATAAGAGGCGGTAACCGACTAACAGCACTGCTCTTCTTTTCACCACCTTCAATACTTGATGCTTTCTTTGCCTTGGGTCTTACATCCTGGAAAAATAATTTTCAGAAATTTTTGAAAGAAGAAACAAGAAGGAATCAGTGTTGACTGTCTTACGACTTCAGCATTTGGCTGTTTTTTTGAGCATTTCCCAAGCTCAAAACCAATAACTACGCAGGAAACTTTTGGAAGTGCACATGAGACATTCATGAACTCAAACTCAACTGAAATGTTTGGAATAATGAAAGCCGAAACTAAAAACTCAAGATCACAAGAATAAATTAAAATTGCTAACGCGTTTTGGGGCTCTCCGGCCCCTTCTTCAAGGTTAAATTCCGATAGTCTTGAAGGAGGGGGCGGGCGGCCCCGAAACGCATCGGCAATTGTAATTTATTTTTGTGAGCTTGAGTTTTTTAGTTTCGGCTTTCTTCATATCATTTCCCGTTTGTTTTGTTTCATTTAGTTTTTGTTACTTTCGGTTTATTAAAATGTTTGAGTTCATCTCTTTTACATCCTCTTCACATTATTAATTTTCGATATTTCAGTTTAACCCTGTATGGCATAGCTTTACGAATTTGTAACAACCTATTTTTGGGGTTTTCAAAATTGAATCTTTCCTCTGTGGCATGATTTTGCAAATTTTCATTAGTTTTTCCTTTTTTTTTGAAGAACTGGTTCCCTTAGATTTAAAATTTTGTACTGGTAAAAATGTTTTTTATGCAAGCTACAATACAGATTAGTGCCCCCTAGAATCTGATATCCAAAATCATGTCATAGACAGTTAATTAGTTGTGTTCTAAATATTCAATACCACATTAAAATTCAAGGTCTACAGTTGTAAACCTCTCTCTGTTCTGTCCTTGCTTTTCATTTTTCTTATTTAGAGAACTCAACAGTGCAAAATTTCCGCAACAAAATGACAGGTACGCTCACCATAAAAATGTGAAAGATGTTTTTGAAATGTAAAGACTGCCAGAAGGGATTTTTAAAATGTTAAGGCAGCGCTACTTCCTGTGAATGAAACTATTAAATGCATTATTCTGTCAGACGGAAACTGCTAGACACACTACTTCATGCGTAGAAAACTGTGTTTTGTGCAAAAGAATAGTGAAGCACGCAGTCTTAGGTGGAGAGCAATGTGAAGGCAGGGGCAGCCTTAAAAAAATAAGGGGAAAACAAACTTTCTGCATTCCTAAGATTACCGAGAACACCATTTGCAACTTTCCTTTTAAAATGCTTCTACATGATTGGGTAACAGGCTCGCCTAATCAAAATTTGAAAGTCATTTCTACGTTTCTCATTACAAATTTACTCCATGCTTCAGGTGTCTGTGTAAAAGGAAAGTTAAACAAGAATTTCAAGGTAAAAAGAACATATACACAGCTTTCATTTTTTAAAATTGATAATGGCACTAATAAATTTGTGCATCATCATATTTCTGGTTAAAAAAAATCCAACTTACCCCATTCTTATCAACAGAAACTGAGTCCCTGCGCATGAAGCGACCAAGAATACTTGAGGAATGCTCAGAACTCCATTCTTCGGACTGAAAAATCAGAATGAAGAGGTTGTGAAACTTGCACACTTAAACTGGCAAAAATTGAATAAGAAATGCAATATAATGTCCATTGCTGACCGTGAGTCATCAGTTGTATTGGATGGACTTAAAAAGAAAAATTAACAAAGAAATGATGAGAAATGCTCAAGTCTGTTCTGTTGGTAAAATAATGTGGATCCTGATCTGGATAGATGGAGAGATGCCATCTATGACAAGACGAGGCATTGAATCCTACTTCAACTCTACTGAAGACAATAAATAGGCACGAAATAGGTACATACATCATACATACGGACCGTACATGTCTTCACAGAAGGGAAGAATTGAGATCATCTAACGCACACTTTCCTGAGTCCTTACTTTGCATTTTTAAATTCTTAAGTTTCTAGGTACTTTTTTGAGTACAAATTGAGTCACATATCTGTGTCATCTGTGCGCAATAGACATACTCACTAAATGAGTTCTTAAAACTCAAACCTACTAATACATCATGAGTACATATTTGTTTCTTCTTAAAAAAATTAAAGTATGACAGCTTACCCTGACAGAGCCTTGATCAGAGACAACTCTGGATTTATCACCTTTGCCTTGTAAAAGTTCTTCAAATACACGGTTTGTTATTTCGTCTAAACTTGGTCCATGTTTAGGCTTTGAAGTTTGGTTCTGACAGTCCTTCCATACTGTAAAGTTTTCAAGCAAAAAGTTTACCATCACTCAGCAAACAACACAAAGTTTTTTTTTAGTTGTAGATTAAAAATTTATTTTTATTTATTCTGCCCTTGAATATTTTCATAATTTGTGATCTTCACAGTGTCAATTAAACAGGAAGAAAATCTTTAGGGAGTGGTTCTTTTGAAGAGCGATTACTTTAACAATCCTACTTCTGCAAGTTCACATAAGTTGAGCGAAAAAGGACCCGAAAAATTTTGGAATTCGCTATGAAAATAAAATCGTCCAACTGGACTTAATTCAATAGAAATGCACCAGGGTGCATTAAGTTTGAGACGATACAAAGAAGTTTGAAGTTTCATTCCTTCATAGAACTCAGTGTTAAGGACAAAGTTTATTTACCATTTTCACTTTCAAAATATTTTTTGTCCGCTTGAAATCACTGACAGGAGAAAATTTACGAATCGTTGCTCAGCTCATTTTTTCTCGAAAAGTAACTTGGTGTATTTTCGTAACACTTGGTTTAAATAACAATATTTAAACTAGCATTTTTTTGAACAGAAAGTAATCATTTTTAATGTCTCATCAAATAAGAATTTGCATAACCTTACCTGATGTGTTTGGTATGGGTGTGCTGCGTGTGAGTACTTGGAGCCGTTGGTTATCAACTGTCCTCACAGCCATGTCTGGTTCTAGAACTTGGTTCTCACTCATCTGAAAAGAAAATAATGACATAGAAGATGAAACTGGTTTGCATTGCTTGAGAGAGGAAAAGAAATATTACATTTTATGCAATCTCTTCCCTGGAAAATGAGCAAAGCTTCTTTTGGAAAACTTTCTTTCAGATGCTGTTGCAAAGTAACAAACCTAATTAATTATTTAATTCAACGATTTGCAGGTTAATGCACGTCTGATAAAGTACAGCAAAGGAGTCCTACCATATCACTGCAATTAAAATTGAGCTGTTATATTATATATATGACCATTCACCGGTATAAAATCTTAATTTTCGGAGGCAAATCATCCAAAACATTAGTAGATCACTTCAATAATAAGTATGTGATGTACCAGTAACTTAATTTTAAGTATTTTGGCATGAAGGTTGCTTTTCCTGCAAAGGCTAAAGAGATGATTTTGTTGAAATTAGACTAAAAAATTTTGTACTTAGGAAACTTAAATTTAGAAGAAATTTATTTTTGAAGAAACACTCAAATGAGTAGGTTTCGAATAACTACAGCGTAAGAATCAAAGTAGCTATTTAAAAATCTCTGTTTGATTAGAGGAAACAGCTGAGAATAAGATGAAACTCTGTTCAGAAATTTACTTAACTAGAGAGCAAACATATTAAAAATCAATGACATTAAGAGCTCAAGTGAAGAAAGAAAAAAACTTAAAATATGAGACATAAATAAATTAAAATAGCCATTGAAATTTCATCAAAAGGCAAAATTGTAGTGCTAACTAAAAAAAAACCAACCTTTTGAGTTCACTGCAACAAAAAGATTCATAGGAAGAAAAGGACCTTAGCTGTTTCCTACATTCAAACAGGGAGATAAAAAACAAGGAAGAGAAATATTTATCTTACCAGACATAGTGTGCACATTTCAAAACGGTAGCCATATTTATTAAGAATGGGCCGAACAACTTCTTCTAAAGTCTTGCACTGTTTGGACTTGACTGCAATGGTTTTCTTGTTTGGTAAATCTAATCGAAAGACGACTCTTGGCTCAATTCTGAGTTCTTGACCTCCCACAATGCTTGCACTTTCATCTAATGATAGAGCCTATGAAAAGAAAATACTCTTATGAAAAACATTTTCTTGTTGTTAGTTTATCATTTTGATTTTAATAGAGGCTCTAGAGGGTTTTGAATTCTGGACAAGAGATTGCTTTACATCTTACCGATCTTACCGACCCCAGCAATACTATGAATCAAATTGATGCTAAACTAGGAAAACATAAATTTTGGTATGCAACATTGATTTTCACAATAACAGGAGTAGTCATGTTGCCGTGGGTTATGAAAAACATTAAAAACGATTAAAAACGTAAGTTATATATTCAAAGGAGTGATGACCCTGAACTTGTTTATGCAGAAAGAACTTGTTTATTAAAGAACTTGATAAATTACCATCATCTTTAGATTTATGAGACCATGAATGTCCGGTCAAATGTGTGTCACCAACTGCGATTTAGAAGAAAGAGTGATTTTTGGCGATAAAATCGTCATGATCATGAATTCTCCGGCAATATTTTCCAAAAGGAGTTTACACTATTCACAAAAATTGCAATATTGAACTAAAATTGTAATTTTTTGGCAAGAAAAGCCATTAGAAAGGCGTGTTGCCACATTTGGCAACTTTTTGGTGCAATGTTTATCTTGCCAGACGGAGCCAGGAGTTTAAAAACTTTCATCAAATTGTTTGCTAAAGTCTACTTCAGCAAACTGCTTCTGGTTAGTCGTATTGACCGACAAGATTCCGTTGAGACCATCGGGAAAATAATTTTTATCGGCATTCAGTTGGGCTGATCATCATTGTAGGAGAATGAGAGCAATATATAATGATTGAATCATTGACTCTTACCTTTGTTGACTGGCCGACAAAAACTTGAAAACAATTATAGTTAAGTGCCCGTTTTTCTAGTAGTTTAGTGACCATCTGCCTGATCGTCTGATCGGGTTTAATTTGAACAACAGCAGTTGCATCATCAGGTAAAACTACTCGACACAATGTTGAAGAGAGAGCTAAATCCCATGATGCCAATGACCATCGACTGCTCCCTGTAGAAACTGTATCCTTGTCCTGTTCCGAGCTGCCTGCAACACTAATTGACCTGTCTCGAGATTTACAACGAGATCTTGACCTTGACCACGGGAGCAATGATTTTCGCCGCCTATCGTCTGCATCACTGCGACTTTTTTTCAGCTGAAAACAGAAATACATCATTGCTTAAGGGAAATATTATCAAAACCCTTTTTTCTTCTTCGGAAAATACACTATTGCATTCTCCCATGATATCGGACCCAGTACCTGAGACTGTGTGAAGAGCACCGATTACGGGTCATAGATCACGAAAATATATGCCATTCAAATTCATGTGTATGTGTATATGTATGTTGTTCTTTGATACATTTATTTAAAGGTACTTTAACATAACTGGGCAATTAACACCTTAGAGTAGAATGTAAGTATGCATGTATAAATATATTTCCGCCTTTTTAAGATTTTTTTATTTTTGAATCGCTGTTTCTTTTTGACGTTGCAAGATACTTTGATCCATGTTTCCGCATTTTGTAGAGCCATATCAGAGCTACTACTATTCTGAGAAAAAAAATTTGAAATTTGAGGCATTAGATATTGAGGAATGGGACTCAAAACTGGGTGGAGGTTAAATTTTGTCACTCTCTGTCAATCTTGAGTGCAAACTAATCACTCGAATAATTTTATCTAATGATTGAATAGGTACTTACCTTAATTGGCGTTTGAGCTACAGAGGAAGAGCGGTGAATTTCTAAGGCTGGATCCAATTTACTGGGAGAGAATACCGGGAGACCAGATATACCACAGAGCATACATTCCTTGTATAAGTCTGATTTGATAAATCGAGGATAACTGTCAAACTTCATTAGATTGAAGATCTGTTTTTGAGCCTGTAAACAAAAAAATATGACTGTCACAAAAAATTCAGAATATTTTATGAAAACGACACCAATTTTACCAAGATAGCAAGTTTTCTAGACTATTCACGTTCAACCAGAGATTCCTCAGTTATATGACAGTTTTTGATACAGAAAAAGAAAAAGAAAAAAAGAGAAAGAAAAAAAAAACCTGCTTCAAATTTACTATGATTAAAGGAAACTTCTTGAATGCTTAGTACATTGGAAAAAATATTATACATCACAGATGAATTTGTCTGCATCTACTGTCTTTATTATCGCTCATAATTTAACCAGAAAAAGTATAAACTTTGAAAAAAGCTTCAGTAACAGTAAGAGGATTAAAGACGGAGGAAAGGTAAGATGAAATGATTAGTTGTATATTGGTGCAATGACAATACGTTACATACTTGGGAGAATAGATTCTGATTGGCAACATCAAGCTGTTCTTGGGTCACTTGTCTTGCTTGTGAGTCTACATTAACCGGTTCGGGCGCCCTCAAAGCCAAGTGCTTGTCAAATATCTCCCTTGCCATCTCTTGCCTCTTCTTCAAATTGTCTTGCAGCCTGTACCTTTCGCATGCTGCCCAGAAATAGATATTTTCATGACTGAATTCCTTCTTGAGAAATTCCTGTAAATAAATGGATTAAAAAATCATTAGTGACTACACATCAAAGAAAGAAAAGATTCATTACCTAAACTCAATGATGTACTCAAACTACTGATGTGAATTCAAACCCTTCGACAACTGGGCAGTTCTAAAAAAAGTAAGGGAAAAATCCTTTCAAAACCTTTCAGGGGCCACACATGAATCATATCACCTATTTTTCCCGACTCTATGACCCCTCTCTCCCTCTGGGTGGTTGACGTAATTTATGGACCGCTCCTCAAGAATCTTCAGAAAAATGTTCAACAGTATCCCGAAACAGTTGAATATACTATAAAGATTTTCAGCGGATTTCATTGATCATTTTTCAGAAGTTTTTGGCAGGTACAACAGAACCAAAAAAATAAGGGAAAAAATAGAGCATTTCGACATATCAAATCTGGAGAAACTTAGGTACACCAAAAAATAAAAGAATTCCCTGTAGAGTTGCTTAAAAATAACTTTAGTTTGTTTTTTAAAAATGTTGAGAAGTTTCTGGTAGAAATCAGGATTATGATAAGAATTTCAGATTATTTTCACTTCACTCTCATTTATTTTTGAGAAAGGTGCAAAGGGTGCACCTTGTATTAAATAAATCTTTCTTCGAAAAATTCACAAATTTGATCATTTCGTGGTTTAGATAAACAAAATATCTACTCCATGAACTGATTGTATGATCAATGATTGAATCTGGCAGCAATAGAAAAATGTAAGCTTACAGCAAAGGTGTGCAAGCCTGCAGGGTCTTCCAACAATCTCTCAAATGATGTTGCCCAGCTGGTAACTCCATTGCCTGAATTATCATGCTGTAACAGAGGACAAATAAAAAAATGAGTAATGTTCAAATCAAAGAAAATTTTGTAACATAATAAAAAATGAAAAAACAACGAAAATGAAGGAGGTCATTTTAGAATATTAGTTGAGGAAGCGCGTGGTCTGTTTACACCCCTAAATTGAATAAGTAAACACTCTTTTTTTAAAAAAACCTGCTGAAAACCTTCCTTTCAAACGGAAACAACAGAGCTCTTCAGCTGAACAACGGCTCGATTGTTGAATGGATAACAAGTGAGCAGTGAGCTCAGAGGCGGATTCAGAAATTTGGCAACGCCGAATTTCTTCCATTTAAAACTATGCTAAATAATCGATTCTTGTCGGAGCACCTGACCCCTCAAAGAATCGATATATTTCCATAGGTTTAAATGGAGAAAAGACAATGTTGCCAATTTGCTGGATCCGCCAATGAGTGAGCTGGTTGGATAAAAAGCATTGCTAAGATAGGGATTTATCCATGAGGATCATTTGATGAGGATTAAATCTCTGCATCGTTGCCAGGCTCCTTAGCGAGCGAGGCCGAGGCGTTTGATACACCAAAAAAATACCTACGAATTAAATCCCATCCGAAACCAGCCACGATTACATAGCCAAGAGGCATTTCCCGACTAAAAGACTGAAATCAAGTTGCTGCCACTTTAAACATTGTTTCGTCTATAAATGCCGATTTTAAACGATCACACTCACAAACGAAAGATAACAGATTTGCGATGTAAAGAAAAACTGCATCTTATTTCAACTTTACTGCCATGACGAATAGGAGAAGTCCCTTCAATTTGGCAACAGGCAATATACATAACACTTTAATGCGCTTGCAATCATGACTTTACCATGGAATTGCAATTTACTGCAACTTACGCTACTGAAGTAGGAGTAAGTAGGATAGAAATAATGTTCCTCAAAAATTGAGCAGCGTTTAGACAGAGAATAATACCTTGTACTCTGAAGAAAAAGGTTTCAGTTATTCAAATCTAACAACCTATTTTTCATTTTTTGGAAGAAGCAACTAAAGAGTTGCTCTTTAAATTCCCTTCTTACTCCCCCCCCCTTCCCCTCCTCTGCGATGACACAAGGCATAAAAAAATACAAAATGATTGAACCAAATTACAGAGGATTTCTGCGCAAACCAGTGATTGATGGGCGAGAATTTTGAAAAAATTAATTGAGCTTCGGAGGATAAAATTATTGCAATTTTTTTCAATGTAGGTATTGAAAAAATCGGATTCAGAAAAAAATTACAAACGAGAAAAGGCGACAAAATAAATTATTTCCTGAAAGTACAGTAATTTCTAATTTTGTCGTCTTCCGGTGATACGAGAGACAGCGCACCTTTAATTAGTCGAGTTAAGAGAGAAACCAAACACGCAATTTGGCCTGGAGCGGCGCGGGCGCAGAGAGCAATGACGACGCGGACTCTTGGGAGAAGCCATCGGCGCGGTGGCCGGCATGTAACACATATTGGCGCCTACAAGAGAGCATGAATACTTCACGCATTGCGTCAAGCACAGTGCGGTCAACAGCGGTCGGCGGGAAACGCATAGCGCCTACAAGACTGTAGGAATACTTCACGCATTGCGCCAAACACACTGCGGCGGCGGAAGTTAAAATTATTAAACCACACTCATGTTTGTTCTTTCATAATTTTTTAGTTTATTTCTTACAAATGAAAGGCCTTGTCCACACAGAGATACGTTTACGGAACTGAACTTTTGCTAGTAGTGTTGACAGGGCTTACGCAAAAAACGTGTCCAACACGAGTGAGCGCGTCTTGTGCACCCTTCCCCTCTGGCACGTTCACTTGATGGTTTTCATTGATGTTTCAAAACGAATGAGAGAGGGGCGGCCCACGGGCGGCAAGTAAGTAAATCCGGCCCTGAATCCGTGTGTTTGCTATAACTTGATGATGAGGTTTGATAACTTGAAATTTTAACTCTATTTGGTCGCATTTCGAGGCTTCCGTGACGCAGATTTTCCATCAGTTTCTGCATAAAAATTACGCCTTTTTTCATACTTTCAGCATAAAATACATTCGAATTATATGCATTCAACAAATTTAGAAAATTTGTGAAATTTTAACTCTAATTGGAACGCATTTCAAGGCTTCCGTGACGCAGATTTTCCATCAATGCCTGCAGAAAAATTACGTTTCAGCACGTAAACTTCGTAAACTTTCAGAAAAAAAGACTTTTGAATTATATGCATTCAAAAAGATTCTGAAAATTTTTGAAAATTCAACTTAATTTGGACGCATTTTGAGGCTTTTCTGACGATCATTTTAGGAATGAACACAGTGTTTTCATTTAAAACTCTACATTAAAAGAGATACATATCTTCGGCGGTCTCAAACTTATTCTTTTCTCACACTCTCTCATCTTCCGTCTCCTCTTCCCTTCTCTTTTTTCCTCACTTTTTTTTTGCTTTCAGGGGGGGGGGGGGG